CAACTCCTCACCTCAGACCTAATTCTTTGCTTCATAAGTGTTTTCTCCCTATGGTCTTTGTTATTTCAATAAATAGTATCTTCATTTTTCATTTGTTAATTTCTTAGGCAAAAGTTCCAGTCCTTTAGTAGCATTTCTCCAGTGTAAAGTACCTGAGTTGAACCCAGTGTCCTGTTAGAGCAGTAAACTCTTCATTGGTTTCTCTATTTTTACCTTTGTGTTTTACCCTATATTCTTTGCAGACTAGTCTCAATACTCGCTTGTGTCCTGTCAAGGGTGTAGCAGGAATCTTAGAAGGTCTTATTAATAAAATCATACCTGGAGCCAGGTAATGGGGTGAATGCTGGAAGATCAGAGAAGCAGAACAAGCCATAGCTTCCTCACCTTGCCAATTCCTCAGCTGGTCCTGTTTCCTCAGACTGGAAGCCTCTGAGTCCTCATCCAGAATGAATCTCAGCTGAACTGCTGCTCAAAAGCCTGAAAGCTTAACCAGCCAAAATGCTTCTAGTTTCTGGTCTTCACACCTTATATATCTTTCTGCCTTCTACCATCACTCCCTGGGATTAAAGGCTCACTTCTTGGGATTAAAGGCATGTGTCACCATGCCTGGCTGTTTCCAATGTGGCCTTGAACTCACAGAGATCCAGAGGGATTTCTGCCTCTGGAATGCTAGGATTAAAGGCATGTGCTACCACTGCCTATTCTCTATGTTTAATATTGTGGCTGTTCTCTTCTCTGACCCCAGATAAGTTTATTAGCGTGCACAATATTTTGGGGAGCACAATACCACCACACAAGGGCTTCCATCTGTGAGCAAGTCCTTAAGGAAAATCAAAGCCTTAATTGATCAGGTTCATCTCTCCCTATCTCCACCCCTCAGCACTCTCTCTAATGGCCTACTTGAAGCTTGTGTACTTACTGTTCCCTTTGCTGTGACTGCTTTACCCCAGATACCTATATTTCCTGACTGTCCAGGTCCTTTATTGTGCAGGCATATCTGAGAAGATGGAGCCTTAGTTGAAGAATTGCCTCCATCAGATTGGCCTGTGGGAAGTCTGAGGGGCATTTTCTTGATTGATGATTTTTGTGGGAGGGCCTGGTCCAAAGTGGACCATGCCATCTTTGGACAGGTGGTCCTGGGGTGTATAGAAAGTAAACTAAGCAAGCTGTGGAAAGCAGGCCAGTAAGCTGTATTTCTCTGTGGTCTCTGCTTCACTTCCTGCCTTCAGGTTCTTGGCTTGAGTTCCTCCCTGGGTTTCTTTGGTGATGGTTTGTAATTGGTCAGCCAGATAAACCCTTTCTTCTCTAAATTGGATTTGGTCATAATGTTTATCACAGCAACAAAAAGCACACTAGGAGCCGGGCGGTGGTGGCGCACGTCTTTAATTCCAGCACTCGGGAGGCAGAGCCAGGCGGATCTCTGTGAGTTCGAGGCCAGCCTGGGCTACCAAGTGAGTCACAGGAAAGGCGCAAAGCTACGCAGAGAAACCCTGTCTCGAAAAACCAAAAAAAAAAAAAAAAGCACACTAGGACACTCTGATGTCACCTTACAGAGAGGTTGTACTGCTTCAAATAGTAGCCCTTCCTGTCTGTTCCACATCACTTTTCTCTGTCTTTCCCATCCTAGTCTAAAAGTTTTTACTAGTATTCCTAGCTACATCTGACATTGTACGGATGCAGTATTTACTCTCTGCCTTCCTCAGTGGAATGTTGGCTTCACAAGGGCAGAGATTTTGTTTTGCGTTTGCTGTGTTCCCAGGATCTGTACAGTGCCCACCGTATACAGGAACAGAGGGGAGTTAATAGATGTTGACTGAATTGTAGGTGAGCAGGTATGAGGTTTTTCTCTCTTTCTTTTTTAGTAGGAGAGTTACTCCTAAAACAGTGAACATTCTCTTGACTTTCTAGTAGCTTCTTTCTTACACATTTAAGCTTTTCAGTGATTTTAAACTAAATTTGATTCCATCTTTTGATCTTCATTTTCTATTTGTAAACTATTTTCAGGGCCTTGTTGCTTAATTGATGAAGCATTTATCTAAATTGTTCTATTATTAATAAAACTCAGGAGTCAGATATTAGGGTAAAAACCTGATAGATCAAGAAATCAGCAGAGGCATGGCGAGCTGACCCTCTCTCTCCACGCTTCCCAGATCGAAAAGACCTGTGAATCCTTCTAAGCCCCTCCAAACTCTTTCCTGTGCCTCTCTATTGTAGTGTATCCTGGGTCCTCCAAAATCTCTGTGGCTAATTCCTGTCTAGTCATTGACTCCAGCCCCCTGATTCAAGGGTAATTTTACTAACAGTCTCAGATTGTCACTTCCGATCAAATACCCAGCAACAAATTGATCCACCTCTTAATATTAGACTTTTAGGCAGTTGATGATTATTGTTAAAATAGGACAGCCATGAAATAAATCATGGTTAAATCCAGTAAAAATGACAATATTTCAGCCATATGACTGAGCCTGTTGAACGATTTTTCTTTAACTTTGACTTACCACATTACATTTCTTTAGTTAATACTTAGAATCTTACCACAAAACTAGAATAATTAAAAATCAGTTATACAGTAGCATGCCTGCTAAGCCTTTTCATTTTCACAATCCTCTTCAAGCTGGTGTATTACTTACTTTTCAGGAGTGGCTCTGTGCAACATTTATTGGCCTTCTGAAATTCATTTAGCCCCCTTTGAAGATACCTTAAAATTTATGAGCCTGCATGTAGCCATTATGAGACTATTAGTTCTGCTCCTTGTGAGCTGTCTGTTTTTTCTTTATGGTTCTTAGTTGTTCTTTTGTAGAGCTGCCAGCTTAAGTCGTGCTGGGATCAAGAAAAATGGGCCTTGGCAGTTTGTGTTCCTGGAGTTATGTCTATACCAGTGGATGCCCACACGCTCTGGAAGAGAATTTGACATCGCTGCTGCCGTTGTTGCTGTTATAGCAGTGGTGGCCACTGCTGCAACTGTTTTGGGGATTACCATTTCATAATTGGTTACTACAGCTAGCACAGTGGAGACCCTGACAGCAAAAGTAGCTACAACAGTTAATTAATCTTTCATTCTATTGGGCATGTTAAATTTAATTTAATAGTTATATACATTTCAATTGGCTTTGAAAATTATAAATTTATAAACTCAAGTTCCATTTACTTTTGGGATACCATCTTACAAGGACTCCAGTTTGCAGTAAGGCTCATTAAGGAAGGGAATGGCTCAGTTGCCTTTAGCCTACTGGCTATGGGTGGATTAGGACTTCTGTTGGTCTTTTCTGTGTAGAACACACAGATTGCAAGCCCAGTGCCACTTTGAGATCTTTGGCAGCAGTTAACTGCAGCTCACACATGATTGAGCCTGTATGATAATGAGTATTCAGAGACGGGTAATACCTGGGGGGCACTCACCAACCTAAGACAGAGCACTTGTGTGGCCTTGGCAGGCGTCTCTATGACGGGTAAGGTGACCTGCTGATGTCCCATGCAACCTAAGTCAGAAGCTCATTTTTTAGTAAAAGGGGGATCTGTAGGGCCCTGGCCCCCGTTTTGGGTAACTGTTGCCTTGCTTGCTGACCTTGACCTTGATATCCTCCCTATGCTAATTCCCTGCCGGGTTCCACCCTCCTGAATACTTAAGGAAAGATCCTTGTCTATGTATCCAGGATAATGGGCGTTAACAGCTTAGATGCAGGATTGTAAAACATCGGTAGCGAGCTTCTGTCCTCCGGGGTTCTCCCATTGTGCTGTAAGCCTGTATTTAAGACCTCCTCCCTGTAGCTTGAGTTTTCCTGACTGGCCCACAGTCAGGACAAATCTCTGACATCCACCAGTCCCACAGCCACTCAGACCCAACCAAGTAAACACAGAGACTTATATTGGTTACAAACTGTATGGCCGTGGCAGGCTTCTTGCTAACTGTTCTTACAGCTTAAATTAATCCATTTTCATTAATCTATACCTTGTCACATGGCTCGTGGCTTACCGGCATCTTTACATGCTGTTTCTCATCATGGCGGCTTGCAGTGTCTCTCTGACTCAGCCTTCTACTTCCCAGCTTTATTCTCCTCCTTGTCCCGCCTATACTTTCTGCCTGGCCACTGACCGATCAGTGATTTATTCATTGACCAATTAGCAACACATTTGACATACAGACCATCCCACAGCACCTCCCTCCTTCAATAAATGACATTCGGCATTAAAAAAAAAAAGAATATAGAAAGCATTCAACGTTGTGTAAAACCCTGTAACAATGCAGTTTTTTTTCTTTTGTTCTTTTTCTGTTGTATAATATTATTTTAAGGTGTGTTACTTTTGTTTATGTTGCATTTGTTTAACTCTGTGAAGCTGTGATACTGTGTCTGTCTGAAACACCTAATGGTCTAATAAAGAACTGAATGGCCAATAAAAAAAACAAATAAAAAAATCAGTTATTTTAAATTCATTGATTTTGGTTATGAAATATATCTTAGTATAAAGCAACACAATAGGTCTGTCTTCTGTAAGTTTTCTGGAACTATTTGAAATATGTGGAATTTCCTCTCAAAAAGAGCACAAGTCAATTTTTGATCAAATAAATCAAGATGGACTTGAATTAGTGTTGTATCTTGTGTAGTTAGTAAGCCCCGCATTGCATGCTTATCTATGTCAGAGAAGATGTTTCTGTCCTCAGGAGTGTCTTAGCTTCATGCTTCATAGCAGAGGTGTAAACAAAGGGCAGCTCCTAGAAGAAGAACAATTTGATCCAGCAGAAGGAAGGTATTCAATCTCCCAGCCTGAGACAAAGAGTCCATATTTGGACTTCAGTCATTTTGGGCAGAGATAAATTGTATTGAATAAAACATAGAAGTAGATGATATGTTGATATATTGGAAAATACAATTTTCTTTTGAAAAAGCATAAATTCTTGGTAGAGAATATGGAAGATAGACTCAACTAACATTATATTTTACAGTATGTTTCTAAAAAAGCACTGTAGAAAACATTTAACTTTTTTCTTTTTTACAATCAAGGCGAGTGAGTTTCTGCCAGAGCCCATGTCAGCAGCATTGTTCCTTGTCTCTTTGGACATGCCTGTTTCTTTGGAATATCCAGAGATTCACGACACTGTTGTGGCTTACTTGGAACAGCTGGATTCTGAAAACTACAGCATTTATAAACGGACTGCAGAGGCTGTTTATTCAATTGAATGTACCTGTAACTTTCTATCTGATGTGGGGAAAGAGGTAAGATGTTTTGTAAATATCTCTTAAGTCTTTTTGGTGAAGTGTTTAGAAAATCTAACCTACACTGTTCCAACAGATAGTCATACAACAAGTAAATTGCTAGGTGTGAGATACATTTTTGTTGAGTGGGCCTGTAGTTTGATTACATTAAGGATGTAATTTGTACAAAAGCAACACAGAAACTTTAGTGTACTGAATAGTGTGTATTCATAGAATTAGCAGTTTCAGAAAGCCATAGCTTTGTTTTACTATATGGGAACTGAGTGATGATGGATTTAATTAGAATTATGATAGCTATGTTAACACATACTTATATACTTGTAGATACAATTTTGTTTTAATTTTTTATGACAGTTATTACATGCTTTCATGAAGAACTTGATAATTTTGTTGCTGTTAATTGTAGTCTTGAATTATTATTTTTAAGATAGTGGGTGTCTTGAGGTGTAGTATTGAAGCACTAATTATTACCATTTATCTCATTTAAAAATACTATTGAAGCATAAAATATTATATTAAAAGACTAGTGGATCCTAGAGATGACATTGCCTTGAGTAGAGGTATGTGTAGCATCTGAGAATACCAAAATGGGTCTTGCACACAATTCTTATTCCTTTTGAAGTTTCTCTGAACCTCATGTTTATAATTTTCCTTTATTTATTCATTATGATATTTTCCCTTCATTTTTGCCATATTCCTTCTCCTGTCACCTTCCCCTGTACTGGGGATGGAATCTCAGGCCTCTAGCCCCTGCTCCTTTTTCTTATTATTTAACTTTTCTGTTGGTTTTTGTAAATTGACCAGGTTGGCCTGAGCTCATTCTGTAGTCCTAGAGGGCCTTGCGTTTGGCCTCAGCCTCCTCAGCAGCTGGGTGAAGGCCTGGCTCCCTGGCCTGCCTCACTTTTGTCACTTCTTGATGCTGCTGGCTTCCCAGTTCTTTCTTTAAAGTTTTCAGCCACGTCTTTAAGTGGATATTTATTTGGCATTCTGCAGTATTTTGGCTGTGCACCTGTAGATGCCTTCTGTGTTTCCAGAACTTGTTAGGATGGTAGAGAGGAGTGGTAAGTGATAAAATACACTAGTATTTTAGTAACGGAGGTCACAGATGAGTAAAGGAAACGCAAATAATGAATGGTCCCAGGTGATATTTCACTACAATTTCCCCTACATTTTGCCTTCTAGGTTGACATTTGTAGATTGATTCTTCAGAAAGTGGAGTTAAACAAATATGAACAGGGTCTCTGAACGGTTTGATTTCTTGAAGGTACTTAGTTAACTATGAGAATGTTATTGCATATGAATTTTGTATTTCCTGTCCCTTTTCTCTTTTGTTACAGGGAGAAAAGAATCTCCTAGAATTATTGGAGCTGGCAGACCAAGCCTTGAGGAGCTTTTCCTATCATCATCATTCCCCCCTAATAAAGGAAATCATCTGCATTTGTTCAAAAATGTAATATTTCCTTTTTTAAAATGTGACCATATAGGGCGGTGTGTGTGTGTGTGTGTGTGTGTGTGTGTGTGTGTGTGTGTGTGTGTGTGCATGAATGTGGTTATGTAGACTTAGGAATAATATAAATAAAAATGACCTTACATGTTTCCTATTTTAGTTTAAATTGTTTTATGGGTCTCACTGTTAAATTGAATTACCTTATTAAATTGTATAGCTGCATTAACTAGTTAACTGCCTTATTCAAAAGTTAACTTTAACAGTGTCATGCCTATAATGAAAATGAGTAGTTCTTGGATTTGTATACATTGTATCCATCCCTGTCAACTACTCCAACAGTTATTAGTTTAAGTAGTCAGAGGTGCTGAGCTCAGGACACAGAAGCAGGAGATTTTCTTGGAGTTCAAAGTCAGCATGCACTCCATAGTGAGACCCAATCTCAAAAAATAAAGTCAAGACAAATAATTCCCCAAGTTTACGATTCCTTTGTAATTATAATTTTATAAATTACTAATTTTATAAAACTTATAGAGATTTAGAAAGAATTATATATTGGTTAATTTATTTTGAGGATACTGGAACAGGTTCCTATAATAAATTCCACAATATGATGAATATCAGTTAACTTTGAGTTTTAATTTTATTTTTATTAATGTGTATCGATAATATGGGTACACATGCCATGACATATGTGTGGAGGTAGGAGGACAACTTTGGGGAATTGATTCTCTTCTTCCACAGTAGGACCTGGGGATTGAACTCAGGTCATCAGGTTTGTGTGACAAGCACCTCCACCCTCTAAGCCGTTTTACTGGCTCCAGGCCAAAAGTGTTTTTTTGTTTTTGTTTTTGTTTTTTTGTTGTTCAGATTTTATTCTTTTTGAATCAGGTCTGACTGTGTAGTCTTGACTAGCCAGGAGCTTTCTATGTTGACCAGGGTGGCCTGGAACTTAGTGATGTGTCTACCTCTGTCCCCTGAGTGTTGGACTAGAAGGCTTGTGTCACTATGCCTGGCTGCAAGTGTGAGTTTTTACAGGTGTTTTCTTTTTGCTTCTTTCTCTGTCCCATAAGAGAGAATATTTTTTGCCTGGTAAGTTCTTGCTGATGTAGTTAATTAAGGGAAGATCCACTCTTAATTAAAAGATCCTCAATTAAGGAACTGGAGTAGGAGGGGACCTTTCCCATAATGCTTTGTAATCCTTTGCCTGGTACCTTGCTGGCCTCAGATGTTTTGACTGTTTTTCTTTTTTACCAGCTGGAAATCTGCACAGGCCAGTCCGTTACTACAGGGAGAGAGTCAGAAGGTGTTTCTCCATATGCTGTCTCACCCTTGGCCACAGGTGAAGGTGGAGACTTATCAGTGCTGTCTGGAGATTGTGAAGGTGGGGCTTTTTTTTTGCTTGTTTTTAAATTAATTTGTTAATATGAGAACTAAGAATGGATTCTCATACTATGCCTTTAGAATTAAATTTCATGAGCTTTTGTGTTAGCCTAAGAACTGTATTCCATAAGTAGATGGTACTCATTAGTCAGCTCTGCGAAGGTTGCACTATTAAATTTCCTTTGGCTTCCTAGTCTCACTGAACTGCTTTATTAAATCTAACAACTCCTGTAAGTCAGTTTGGGTGTTGCCATTCTTACTTCTAATCTGTTTTCACATCAATAAAAAGACTACAGTTAAACAGACATGGCTTTCTCTCCCCTTCTGGACCATCGGTGCAGCTACTCTTGGTGTTGATGTGTGTCTTTCCATCCATGTTTTTAGAATGTATGTTTACTGTAGACGCATGTCTTTATAAAGTGTATTATTGTTCGTTTTGTGCACCTAAAGTATAGTTTCATACTATATATGTTTTTGCTAAGTGTTTAGTTTATCTGAAGGATTTGAGATCTACTTAGTTAATTCATCTTTACTGTTATAAGTTGGAGCTTGCTTCCTTTTACTTAATGGTGAATATTTAGGTTGAATCTCCTTTTTACTGAACCAAAGTTTTTAATCCTGAGTGCTGGGATCTTTACTCCATGGTGCTCAGATGGCACTATGCCCATCTGAGATGAGTTTTAAAGGCTTTAGTCTTGGTAATATCATCTAGAGATGGGCATAGGAGGCTTGTGGAAGGGATTATTATATTTATGGATGAATAAGCTGGAGCTCAGGGAATTGTGTGTATCTTAAGGAAGTGACAGCTGCTCCTAAACACTAAGACTGAAGCCTTAACTCTCAAAAGTTTGAGTATTTAATAATGTATATGCATATAAATATGTGAAATCACATGCATATATTTTGAATTGTGAATTGTTAGTAGTTATAAGGACAGAGTAATTTCCAGTATGAAAGGAATTGAGTTTAAGTTTGTCACTCATTATTGCATGTGTTTCCAACTATTGTATTTGCATTCTATTAATATTTATCATCACTTCTATTCTCTCTCACATAGCTTCTAACAAAACATTTTCTGTTATAATTGAGAAAGGATTTTATGTTTCCTTCTTCTTAATGTATTTCTTCCCCAATATCTTTTCTTTCCTTTTCTTTTTTTAATTTGAATTTTGTTTTTCTTTCTCAGGCTTCAGTAAATCAAGTCACAAATCAGACACATCAGGTTAAGGTTTTAGAGTTTTGTCATGTCTTTTATATCTGTTGACTTTTAGGGGTTATGGTTGTTTGGTTATTTATAAAGATTTTGCTCATTAGCAGAACATTACATAACCCACATAGACTTGAACAGCTAGTATTAGCTAAAAAACAATTTTATGATGTGAAAACTAAAATTGCAACTAAATTACAAACAGAAGAAAGAGAATTCTTTTAGAAAAATCATTGTCACTAATTAAAAAAATATTTGTGTTATTTTACAGGAATGTTTAGGTGTCCATAATGTCACTAAACCTGTATCTTCACTTTGTAGTGGAATTCATTTTCTGCTTCATCCAAAAGTCCTATATGAAATCTCTGCATTTGGTATTCAAGAACCCAAAAATGAGGTATGACATGTTAAAAATATGTACAAATGATTACTCTACCAAGTCAAAGAAATGCTCTAATAAAATTGGACAGCTTCATGTGAAGGTACAAGGAAATGTGTACTTGGTATATTATTAAGTTCTGATATTATTTACAAAAAAAGAAATGTTAAAGAAAATGGGTAAATCAAAATACAGAATGCACTTGATCTCAGAATCAGATCAACATTTTACTATGATTTTCTTTTAGATGTAAGGAACTACAGAATAGCTGTTATTTCAGATTTATTGCTAAGGGTAAAATAGCAGAAACTTAAGGGAGAAAACTCATTAATAACAGAATATAGATGACATATGATGAGAGAAACATTTGAAGAAAGATAAGTTTTGTACCTTTTCAGTTCTTATAAAACATTCCAGGTCTGTGAGAGGACATAGTGGGATATCTCATAGCGTGGCTGTGTCTTGTTGAGCAGGTGAATGCTGCTGCCAAGGCCATTCTGTTGTATCTGCTTCAGGGACGATTGGTGATGACAGCACTGACCTGGAACAAGTTTATCGAGTCTCTCTGTCCTGTCATTCCAGTGCTGCAGGTACTCTGCAATTCCTTTTTTATGATACCATTTGTCTTTGGCTGGTTGTCAGTGATGTAAAAGAATGCAAGCAGCAGAACTGTCACATTGTGAGAAAAATGAAGGGGAGCTTTGAAGGCACTGGGGAGAAGTGAGCAGGAAGTGGGTGGCTGTCTTGTTTCTGGCAGAAGGTTAAACAAGGATAGTTAATTTGCCCATGTATACTTTACATATCTGGGTGGGAGGTCAAAAAGTATTGACTGTGCAAAATAGAGCACAACCTTTTATAAAGGCTTTGAGGCAAAGCCAGCAGTCCTTGTTACGCAGACATTTCATAATTAGCTTGCCTCATGCATTCTGTTTGTGCATGTATTTAATTAGAGTGATACTTTGATTAATGAGCTCCTAGGAACAAAGCTTTCTTAAACAGTCCTCCTGGACCCTGAAGGAATTAGGAAAGTTTAGGTCTCTACCTCCTTTGGATGGAAAGGTAGGGCTAGTACTCACAAACTTATTTGCTGTAGTCCAACTGCAGGTGTGTCAGTATGAAGAAATGAAGTAGTATCTGACCATCAGATGCGTTTCACACAAGTGGCCGACCCTGAATAACTCAAACCATCTTTATTTATACTTCAAAAGTAACCATATTTTCCCATACCAACAAACATGTTTTTCCCACCCTCCAGCATTAACCTTTGGCAAAACAAATATGTCAAATATGTTTTTTTTCCCAACTTTTACATCAGAACATCTTTAAACCAAAGTAACACATCATTTTGCTAGCATGGCCAAATATCGAGCCTGGTACATCCCAAACTAAAAGGTGATTAACATAGGCACTGTAAATGGAGTTTTCCTGTCTTGACTACCTGGTCCCAAATACCTGAGAGCTGCTTCCCAAATTACCACACAGAGGCTTATATTAATTATAAATGTTTGGTCAGTAGCTCAGGCTTATTACTAACTAGCTCTTACACTTAAATTAACCCATAATTCTTATCAGTGTTTAGCCACATGGCTTGGTACTTTTTCTCAGTATAGCATTCTTATCTTGTTTCCTCTGCATCTACCTGGTGACTCCCCAACTCCACCCTTCCTCTTCCTGTATCTCCATTTGGCTTTCCCACCAAGCCTTATTCTGCCTGGCTGTAGGCCAAAACAGCTTTTATTATCAACCAATGAGAGCAACATAGCATTTCCCCCTTTCTGTCTAATCAAAAAAAAAGAAGCTGCTGGGTATTTGAACTGGGTAGTTGTGACAGGAAAACTTCATTTACATATGATGCCCAAATGTTTGGCAAGAATTTCCACATAAAACCTGATAAAGCTTGGTGCTGGAGAGATGGCTCAGTGGTTAATAGCACTGACTGCTCTTCCAGAGGTCCTGAGCAATTCCCAGCACCCACATGGTGGCTCACAACCACTTGCAATTAGATCTGGTGCCCTCTTCTGGCCTGCAAGGACACATGCAGGCAGTACACTGTATACATAATAAATCAATAAACCTTAAAAAAAAAGTCTTCCTAATTCAATTTTGGGTTGGGGATTTAGCTCAGTGGTAGAGCACTTGCCTAGCAAGCACAAGGCCCTAGGTTCGGTCCTCAGCTCTGGGGGGCGGGGTGCGAGGGGGGAAGGTTTCGAACACATAAAAGAACAGAGTCAAGCACAGCTTCTTGGTAACCGTCTTTTCTCTGGTAGGCTCTGTTTGCTGGAGGTGAGCAGAGGCGCTGCTCCTTTAAGAGAGGGCTTCCTGACACAGTGTTAGAAGCAAAAGCCACATGTCTAAACATAGATAGGAATTATAGGTTAATTTAAGTGTAAGAACTAGTAAGAGTAATAAGCCCAAGCTACCAGCCAAACATTTATAAGAAATATTAATCCTCTGAGTCAATTATTTGGGAAGTGGCTGCTGGGTATTTGGGAGTTGCTGGTGGGATAGAGACTTCCACCTTCAAGGCACACTTTTTCAAGAACAATGGTCTTGTTTAAAACATATTTACAGAAATAGTGGTGATTTGCTGTAAACTGCTTGCATACAGTTAGCTTATGTCTTAACTGCCCGTTAACGTTTATTGCCACCAATCCTGTCAGCAGTGACTTAGAACAGTTCCCAGGATCTGGAATGACAGCAGGTATTTCCTGAAAAGCCTTGGTTTTCATGGAATTTTTGGGGAAAATATTTGAGAAAAAAATAGGGTTTCCAGGAGTGATCACATCTGTCCCATGTGTGACTGACTGAAGGGACACTAAAAGCCACCAAGAGAATCTTCACTATTATGAGAGAGAAAAGAGTGTGCAGGCTGTGCAGTCACAGCAGTGTTCTGTGCTGCCCCAAAGTCCTCTGGTCCTTGCTGAGTGAGTCTCCGTGGCCTTTGCCTCGTCTGGAGACCATTGGACAAGCACTCGTATACTGATCCAAAACTACACTGCTTGGCAACCAAAACACTTACTTATGTTAATTAAATTTTATTTATATGTATATATGTGTTTGTATGAGTGTATGCCATGTATGTGTGGGTACCCAAGGAGACCAGGATCACCTGGATTGGAGTGAAAGGCAGTTATAAGATGCCTGATGTGGATGCTGGGAACTGAAATTCAGTCAGAAGTGCTCCTAATAGCTGAACTATCTCTCTAGTCCCAGGTTTGTTTGGTTTTAAGTACATAATTATCTTTATCGTTAGAAACTGAACAACTGTCATTTTACTATAAAATAGATTGTTTCTGTGTTCAAAAGTTCATATTCAAAAATTATTTGCTGTATTTATTAAATAGGATCTTATTGTAAGTATGATAAGATACTCTAAAAATCTCATTGGATTCTTAGAGTTCAGGTGGTTTGCCTGAGAAAGGAATAATCTGCAGCTGACCCACTTGAAAGAAAGGATCAGAATGTGGGAAAAGCTTTTGTCTAGTGCCATGATGTAGGCGGAGTTTCTCTGTGTCTCAGCAGCTCCCAAATAACCGACATGGAGACAATAAATGCTCAGCTGATAGCTCATTACATTTTAAATTAACCCATATTTCATATCTACCCTCTGCCATGTGGCTGTACCTTCTTTCAGTGCGTCATGTTCATCTTGCTTCTCTCTGTCTCTCGTGACCCTCAGACGCCGCCCTTCTTCCCAGCATCCTCCTAGAATGGTTTCCCACCCAGTGTCTTCCTGCCCAGCTATTACTTTATTGAGAGTAGTGCATATTTACAGTGTACAAAGATTGTTCCACAGCACCATGAAGAAAAGTGGCGTTTATTTATCCTTCCCTTCCACGTTTTCCTTTCTAGTTTTATTTTGTTGCTATGACAAGTATCATGACCAACAGCAACTTAAGGAAGGAGAGGATTTATTTGGCTTATACTTCCAGGTCACAGGGCATCATCAAGGGAAGCTAGGGCAGAAACTCAAGCAAAGACCATGTAAGAAAGCTGCTCTGTGGCTCACTCTCTGGGTAGCTCATACTCATGCTCAGCTATCTAGGACTGGTGCTGCCCACAGTGGGCTGGGTCTCCTGCATCAGGTCACAGTCAAGACAATCCCATGGACATGTCCACAGGCTAGTTTGATCTGTGTAGTTCTTTGGCTCAGGTTTCCTCTCAGATGACTCTAGGCTGTGTCCAGTTGATAGTAAAAGCATACTAGGACATCTGAGAATGTGCTTAAGAAGACTTCTCTTTTCTCACTTTTATATTACCTATGCTGCATTGTGTTACTTGATATTAAAAATATGTAGAAGAAATGGCTGTAATTTGCTGGAAACAGACTACAACTTCCTATGGACAATGGTTCTCTGTTCCCAATGGACACATAGGTTTTAGTCCTCAAAGCTCACTGGTCCAGTTTTCTACATGAAGTTCCTATAGTACTCCTGCTTGGATCTGTTTGGAGAGGACTAAAGATCTTATCAAGTATCTTGAGTATGAAGATGCTACTGCTAGGATCGTAGAAAACAGAAATATCAGCACATTTTCCTTAAAATGTACTTTAAAAAATATTTTACTTTTAATTTCATCTCCTTATCTCACATTGGTTATTTTGAAAAGAGACTGTTATTCAACTGACTTGAGGGGAATTGAATTGCATGACATGCCTGTATAATTACTGTTACTTTCAAATTGAAAACTTAACATATGTAAAACTGAATGATAATTTCTCTTAAAAAATAATTCTTAGGGCTATGCTGATCCAGAAGATCCTTTAGGCAACTGCATTCTCCTTCTAAGCAAAGCGAGTTCTGAGGCAGAAGGCATTCTCCCTTCCACTATCCGGCTGAAGTCTATGCTGCGACTTTTGCTAGTGAAAAAGTCTTCGTAAGTACAGTGTAACTTTTTGAATAAGAAAGATTAATGAAGACGTTCTAGAAGAGTAATTATACGACTCTGAAACAGTAGAACTAAAGGAAGGAAGGTGGCTTCATGTTATTACTCCGAAGAACCAATCAGTGTGTGCTGATTGGCTGCTTTACTGACGTGTTTTAATTTCATTTACCTTGTACTATTACTTGGGGAGCTAAAGGGAGTTCTTTCCTTCACCGCCATTGGTGTGGGTATCATCTTAACTAACATAATGGAAGGAGGGATGTATAGTTATGAATTTTCTTTGTTCCTTTCTGTAGTTAATGGTGGGAACATCTCCCCTCACTGAGAAGAGGGAAAAGTTTAAAGTCAAACAGTGACGAAGATGAGAGCTTACATCTGATCCACATCTATGAGGCAGAGTAGGACGTGGGAGAGAGAGTAGGCTTATTGTGAATGGCACTGGGAATGACATGGGGTTTTTGAAATCTTAAAGCCTACTTGCAGTGACACATCTCCTTTAACAAGGGTACACCTAACTTTCCTAAACAGTTCCACCAAATACAGACCAAACATTCATGAGCATATGGGGGGCCATTCAAACCACTACATTCTACTTCCTGGACCCCATATTCTTGTAGCCTTATCAAAATGCAAAATTCATTTATTTCAACTTCAAAATCCCCATGGTCTTTCAGTTTCAATACTTGTTTAAAAGTCCAAAGTCTCATCTGAGACTCAAGGCAGTCTCTTAATTGTAACCCCCTGTAAAAGCAAAAAGCAAATTACATACTTCCAAATGCAATGACACAGAATATACATTACCATTCCAAAAGGGAGGAAAAGGGACATAGTGAGGAAATACTAAACAAAACCCAGCAGGGCAGACTCCAAATCCTGAAGCTGTGTATCCTATGTCGAGATGGCTCTGCCCTTCCAGTTCTGTTGACTGCAACGTCCTGCTTTCTCTTGTGCTGGTTCTGCTCCCCTGTTTGGATAGCTCCTAGGCAGATATCCCGTGGGTCTGGCATCGCCACATCTTGGGTTCTCTAACACTTTACCGTTTTGGTTTTATACTGGGCTTTATCACTATTTGTCCTAGGCTACTCTCAAACTCCTGTGTTCAAAATCCCTCTGTTGCATCCTTGCATAGTTGGGGCTACAGATCTGACAGGAGATTAACTGAAGGTGACTGTGTTTTAGTCTCTGTAAGTCTACCCAGTTGTTGTTATTAATTATTCTCAGTTTCTGATGTTATTTTATAAAACAAAATTGACTCTATATGAAAATAGATCTATATGAAAGAGTTTTGTAGAAACAGGAAAATACTACTGATGGCAGTATGTATATATGTATGTATATATATATGTATGTATATATATATGGGTAGTTATACTTTATTTTGATAATTCTTTGTGTTTCTAAGCATGTTTATAAGACTATTTATAAGCACAAAATACTGATTTAAATACCTTGTGTCTTGTTTTTAGGGTTCGTTCACTAGCATTAAAGCTGCTAGCATTTTATCTTACCAATGAAGAAGGGGCTGATACAAAGCGCCCATTGATAGACGCCAGAATTCTCTCCCGAGTTACTAATCTGTTTATTGTGAAAAAACCTATTGACCTTAAACTGGATGACAGACGAGAACTAGTTATTAAGGTAACAATAACTTTTGAGTTTATTACTGTGTAGTAATTTGACACATTTATATAACATGCATTTTATGTGATGACTTTCAGGCTGTGTGTGCATAGGGAGGGAGATGGGTAATTTGGGACTAGTTTCTTGTATTCTATATTGATCTGGCTTCTGGATGCCTTTGTTTACTGGGCAGATACTACTTAAGTGTATTAATTCCACTGGTTGAGAATAAGACCACTACCACATTTTAAAACCAAATTTGAAGCAAGCTTTAATTAAATACTGGCCAGGTTGATAAACTCTCTGGCCAGGTCCATCTCTGGGTTCCCAGAAAATGGCCACAAGTCACGCTTGAAGAGGCTTAAAAAGGCAACCCCACAAGGCTACCATATTTTTCATCAGATCCAATCAGGGGCAGTCACATATCCTGACATATTTCCCATCCACATATGATGAAGCATGTCTGGTGTTGGTGCAGATGGCTCAAACAAACTTGTTTAGGGGAGTGAAAACATAAATAGCCTCTAGCCTTTAATTTTGGTTCTCACAAGTGCCTATTGTCTTCTGGGGACTATATGTATGTGCTGAAAGTGGAAGTTATTCATGGAGTGTCTGAAATGCACTACAGTTGAATAGAGTGAGAAGTCTTGTGATGAATTTTTACGTCATTTTCTAATTTTTAAAAATCTATGTGCATGTGAATATAGTGCCCAGTTGAAGCCAGAAGAGGGCATTGGATTCCCTGGAGCTGGAGATACAGATGGTTGTTAGATACTTGACGTGGATGCTGGGAACCAAACTCAGATCCTTTGGAAGAGCAGCATATGCTCTTACCCTCTGAGTTATTTCTTCATCTCCTGTTTTTTTTCAGTTAATTTCTTAAAATGTATTTTTATTAGATTTTTTTTTTGTATATATATATATATATATATATATATATATATATATATATATATATATATATACACACACACACAAGGGCATGTCATAGAAGTCAGTTTCTTTCTTCCACCATATGTGTTGCTGGAGATGGAATGTAGATCATCAGGCTTGGCAGCAAGTGCCATTACCCATTGAGCATCTCACCTGCTCTTTTGATGACCAAACAAATACCATTGACATTGGGAATTGCCAACTAGGAAAAAAGAAAAAGTTCTTGTGGAAAGTATTTCAGCCTCTGCATTTTAAGAGAAACACCCCCCCCCCCATATATATATAAAACACACACACACACACACACACACACACACACATATATTAATATATATATGTGTATATATATATATATATTATATATGTATCTCCAAAGCAGTTTCTCCCGGATTTCACAGTGATTATAAGATTTCTTTAAATTGCTTTACTGAATCCTTGGCCTTTGGCTCCTTTAGATGACTCCAGAAGGTTAGTACCTGTGGTGCTGTTTTTTTTTTTTGGTCAACTTGAAACAAGCTAGGATAATCTTGGAAGAGGGAAGCTTAATTAAGACAATGCTTTCATTAAGTCTGATATGTAGGTAAATCTATGGGCACTTTCTTGATTAATGATAGATGTGGAAGGGCTCGGCCCACTTTAGTTGATGCCACCCCAGAGCAGCTTGTCCTGAATTATATGAAAACACAAGCTGAGAAAGCCACAAAGAGCAAGCTATGAGCAGTGTTTCTCCATGGTCTCTGCTTTGGTTCCTGCCCTGAATTCTCTTCAGTGATGGATTGTGACCTGGAAGTTGTGAGATGAAATAAACCCTTTTCCCCAAGTTGGTTTTGGTTTGTGTTTTATTACAGCAGTAGAGAGGCAAACTAAGACAGCAGCACCTATTTAACCAGGGCTGTCCCTACATCACTGAGCTGATGGAGAATTCTGCCCTTGTCCTCATCCTTGATTCCCTCCTGTGCTTTAGAGCTTCCCATGTTCTTTTCAGTTTGCCATCTGTCAGTTTTATTTATACTTACATGAAGTCTCCAGCATGGGTATTAGCAACAAAGGGCCACCACACAGAGTAGTTAGTACTGCTCATAGCTTGTTACAAATTTACATATAAATGTTTATTTAAGTATGTTGACTGTAAGCTTTTGTTTTTATGGCATGAGCTGTAAAATTTTATCGGGGAATTGGAAGTAGATGAAAATATGTATTTTTGATTTTCAGCTGGAGACTGTTGAAAAGGTATATGAAATCTTCACCTCAGATGATGTTGATCTTGTTTTGAGGAAGTCAGCTGCAGAGCAACTAGCTGTAATCATGCAAGGTAATGATTTTTTGACAGTGTTCTTATTGCTAGCCTAAGATTTGAGGTTGCCGTATTAGTATTAGTTTGTCAGATAACTGTTCATAGGCCAGGCCTAGCCTCTGATGTATTTTAACCTTCATGATAAGAATGTCTTTTTACATGTTTAGATTGTTGAACAAAACCAAGATCTAAGAATGTGTGGCAGACCTTACTTATAATATTTACTATGGATTCTTCACAAAGAGTTTGCTTGTCAAGTTCATTGTCAACATTTGATCTATAGAATGTCATATGGGAGCTTATCAAATTATCAAATATAATCTAAAATATTAATAGAATTATGAGTATAAAGTTTTTTTCCTTTTAAAATTTATTGGTATGTGGTAATTTTGATTCCTACATGTTGCTCAGAGAAGTGACCCAAACAGTACTTTTGGGTAAGACAAAAAATAATACATTATGGGCTGGAGAGAAAGCTCAGTGGCTTAAGGAGCACCTCATGGAGGCTCACAACCATCCATAACTCCAGTCCCGGGGGATCTAATACCCTCTTCAGGGTTCTCAGGGCATGCTGTTGGTATAAAATATACATGCAGACAAAACAACCATACACATAAAATAAAATGAAAAAAAAGCATTGTAATTCTGTGTATGTGTGGTTTATTGTTTAAAAAGAGTATGTATGTGGTTTTATTATTTAAAAATAAACTAGAAAAAGATAGCTTGCTTTGTTTGTAATATTACTATTGCATAGGGTTTATTATGTAATAATAAAGTCTTTGTTAGTTTTTCATTTTTCCTCATCTTTGATATATGCATTTTAATGTTTCTGGAAAAAGCAAATTCTCACTTTTTTCTTTTTAACTTTTATTATTCTTTGTGGATTTCACATCATGCTTTCTAATCCTACTTATCACCCCCTCTCCACATCAGCCCTCTGCCCTTGCAACCTCCCCCTCAGTGAAAACCAAATTTAAAGGAACCCCCCCCCAAAAAAATCATCATCATCATCATCATCATCATCATCTTGTCGTGGAAGCTGTAGTGTGGCCCTTGAGTCACAGTTTACTCTTTAGTCCATTCACCTTTACTTGCAAGTATTTTGAGCTAGCCCTGATCCTCACTGGCTGCAGCAGCTGCTGTGCATGAGAGTGGGTTCTGCTTCTGGTCTGGGCAGCCTACTAGAGCTGACCCTGTTGTGGGGAGCCTCTTGCTCCCCAGATGAGCCAGCCCTGAGGACATGAGAGCAGGAAAGCTGACCCTGCATCCCCATTCCCCCTGCCCTGCCCCTACCCCATCTGCTGTGCAGTACAATGGTGAGGGAAAGACGCCCTCTTCCAACGGGGGTGGGGGGGTGGAGAGAATGGGGGGGAGGGAAGTGAGGAGAGAGGAGAGGTGCGCTGGCCTCAGAGTCACGAGAGTGAGAGAACTAACCCTGCCCCTCACCAGCTGTAGCACACAGCAGAGTGGGCCCTGTACCCTGCCTGGGCAACACAGTAGAGCTGACCCTATTGTCTGGGCTGCAGGTGAGCCTGCCCTGAGGGTGTGAGAGCAGGAGAGCTATATATATATTTGAATATATGCTTATTAAATATTTTTTCAGAAATATGTAGTACATTAAAAAATTTCCTTTTATATTTCCTATTAACAACTTGAGGTTGAAATCATTCATTAATAGACTGATGTTCATATTCAACCTTATCTACTTATTAATTTATGGAGAATTCTAAATATTTTGAAGTAATCTATTTGGGAAAGAGAAGAAATGAAACAATATGGAGAAAAAAATTTGCCACGTAGAACTAAAATAATTAATTTGCTTTCTTAAAATTCTAGTTCTACTTAGTATCTAAAATAGTTTGCATGTTTGTTAGTTTTTATAGATTTTTTTTGTATTTCATATTCCAGTGTGGGAATAGATGTAAGGATTTGTTGGGGAATATTATTTTAAGGTATGTTACTTTTGTTTATGTTGCATTTGTTTAACTCTGTGAAGCTGTGTTACTTTGTCTGTCTAAAACATCCATTGGTCTAATAAAGAGCTGAATGGCCAATAACAAGGCAGGAGAAAGGATAGGTGTGGCTGGCAGGCAGAGAGAATATGTATATATAGAAATCTGGGAGGAAAGAGATCTAAGATCTAGCAGCCAGAGAAGGAGGAGGACTCCAGGGGCCAGCCACCCAGCTACACAGCCAGCCACAGAATAAGAGTAAGATTTACAGAAGTAAGAGAATGGGCAAAGCCCAGAGGCAAAAGTAGACGGGTTAAGTTAAAGTTAACAAAAGCTGGCTAAAAACTAAGCAAAGCTAAGGTGGGCATCATAATTAAGAATAAGCCTCCATGTGTGAATTTATTTGGGAGCTGGGTGGTGGACCCCCAAAAGAGAAAAAACAAACAAGAATTGTTTGTAACTTAAATGTTTCACAGTGTACAGATTCATAAAAATATTTTGTCTTCTAATTTCAGCCCTAGGTATACCATATTTTTAATAGTTTGGAAGTTGGGTGCATAACTGTCCCATATATTTCAAAATGTTTTTAGAGCCACAAAACTCTTGTTTAACTTGAATATTGTTTTATCTGTAGATATTAAGATGCATGCTGTGGTGAAAAAGTTATGCTTAATTGAGAAGATAATCGGGTATTTAAATGAATGTGTGGGTCAAGATGGCAAGGTAAGACATTTTTTATAAGTTGGGCTTTTTAAAGAGAAGGGTGTGTGTGTGTGTGTTATATGCATATGGGCATGGAGTTTCACTTGCCTGTGCATGAGTGGGTAGAGGCCAGAAGTTGAAGTTGGAGATCTTCCTCTATCACTCTCTGTATTATATTTTGTTAATATTTTTTAATTTTTATTTTTAAATTGTTTAAATTTATTCTCTCATATATACATCCAGACCTCAGTTTCCTCTCCTTCCTCTCTTCCCAGTACCCCACCCCATCCACTCCTCCTCCATTTCCCTTCAGAAAAGGTTAGGCCACCCAGGGATATTAACCAAATGTGACATATCAAGTTGCAATAAGACTAGGCACCTCCCTTCATTGTAAAGCTGGATGAGGCAACCCAGTAGGAGGAAGGGTCCCAAGAGCAGGCAACAGAGTCAGAGACAGCCCCTGTTCTCACTGTCAGGAGTCCCACAGGAAGACCAAGCTATGCCATAACATAGATGCAGAGGGCCTAGGTCAGACCCAGTGGGCTCCCCAATTGTTGGTTCAGTCTCTGTGAGCCCTTATGAGCCCCGGTTAGTTGATTATGTGGATTTTCTTGTGGTGTACTTGACTATGTTTTCCTACAATCCTTGCCCCTTCTGTAGGATTCCCATGATCTGCCTAATGTTTGACTGTGGGTCTCTGCATTTTAATCAGTTGCTGAATGAAGCTTCTCTGATGACAGTTATGCTAGGCTCCTGTCTACAAGTATAACAGAATATCATTAGGAATCATCACTCATTTCATTGAACTTTCTTTTTTTTTTGCCAGTTGTGTTTTGTTCTATCCTAGGCCTTTGGGCCATCCATCCAGTCTCTGGTTCCTGGCTCTTCAGGCAGTGTCAGGGGTGGGCTCTTTTTTGGGGGAAGGAGCCTCAAGCTGGACCAGTCATTGGTTGGCCACTCCCACAATTTCTGGGCTCCCTTTACCCCAGCACATTCTGTATTATTGTTAAGATAGGGTATTTCACTGAACCTGTAGCTAACTCATTGTTTTGGCTAGGCTAGCTGGCCAGCGAGTCTCCTGTCTCCTCCCAGGAAGTTCTGGGTCACCACACCCAGATTCTACATGGGTACTAAAGATCATATCCAGGTCCTCCGGCTTGCAAAGCAAGTACCTTTCCCACTGTACCATATTTCCGGCCTGATAGGTTGATTTTATTAGTTTGAACTGAATTTAGCTGAATTTGGATGAATACTTGTATTTTAAGGGAGACCCACCCATCTTTTATTTTTTTATTTCTAAAAGGAATCTCTAAAGGAAAACTAAGCTTAAAAATTCTATGAGCTTTCTAGAGAGAAGTGTATTCAATGTTGCTTTTATTTTTAAATAATTTTTTAAAATTAAAGACTTATTATTTTATGTGTATAAGGTGCATCATGTGCATGCTTAGTGCCTATAGAGACCAGAAGAGGGTATTGGATTCCTTAGAAGTGGAATTACAGACCATTGTGAGCCACCACGTGGGTGCTGGAAATTGAACCTAGGTCCTCTGGAAGAGCAACCAATGCTCCCTAACTGCTGAGCCATCTCTCCAACCCAATATTTAAAGTAATTGTTAGTGTAATTTTAAAAACAGAATATCTAACATCTTTTCATTGTAGTTGCATGTAATTTAATGACCAAGCCATAATACTTAGAATAAGGCCATGTGGTATGTTTTATCTCATTTTCCATTGGCAGGTTGTAGAATGCTTGATTCAGCCATGCCTCACGCTCCTGAGGAAGGTTTTATATGCTGACCCAGTCATCCGTGTTTCCTTGTCACAGCAGTCTTCTCTCTTGACCCTGTTATTCAGAGGTGAGTAATCAGTGCCAGAAGGATACCTGCAGATAGCATTTGCTTTTCATTGTAGTATGAGAACTAAGTTCTTTACTGGCTTGAAAAGTCATCATGAAAAGCACTCAATGCTTTTGTGGAAATATCTCTTATACTGTTGTTGCCTAAGTAGGCAGCAGCTGAGAAAAGCTGAGCTCTGATGACTCTCTGTACCTGCTTGTTAATACGTAATTTAGTGCTTATGTGGTCGTTGTTGTCTTTGAAGAGGTAAGGCCAGCTGCTTTCTCTTCCTTTTCTTTAATATCTGTACCCTACTTCTGGTGTCACTTGTCTTTTGGAATTATATTGCTAGCAATCCATCCATGGAGTCTATTTAATGAGCAAAGGAATTTATTTGGGGGTTAGCTCCTAAGACAGAATAAAGGAATTTGTCGCAGAATCTTGGAAGGATGAGGCATGGTCCAATGCTGTTCTCTGGGAAGCTCTGCCCTGTTCCGTTCCAGCATCCAAAACCACGAGGTAGTGAAGAGAGAGCGTGCATCCCACGTCTTAAGGGTCCCTCAGCGGCCATGCCCCAGGGGCATGTACCTCAAGGTCATAGGCAGGTGTAATAGTTACCTGCCACCTCACTAGGGGCAGTGCTTCAGGGCATGGCTCAAACAGCCACCCACTACACTTGTCCCTTTGTTTAGCATTGGCTTACAAGATTAGACTGGGATAGAGACTGTAGACCCAGCTAAATCACACTGAATGACTTCTTTAAGCATCTGTGCATGTATGGAAGTTTTAGAAACGTTTTAAAATGGCTGAGTGACTGGGTGGCTGAGTGGCTGGGTGGCTGGGTGGCTGGCCCCTATTGTCCTCTTTCCCGTGTTCTCTTGCTCTTCTTCTCCCTTATCTCTGCCTGCCAGCCCGCCTATCCTTTCTCCTTCCTCACTATTGGCCGTTCAGCTCTTTATTAGACCATCAGGTGTTTTACACAGGCACAGTAACACAGCTTCACAGAGTTAAACAAATGCAACATAAAAAGTGCAGCTCATCTTTACATCATTAAATGAATGTTCCACAGCATGAACAAGTGTAACACATCTTAAAGTAATATTCTACAACATTCTGGTATAATGAAGTATGGCAGCAGCGCAGGATGGACCCAGTCAGGGCAAGAACTGAAGGCAGGCAAGTGGAACACAGTCCCTTTAGGCCCTGTCTGGGCTGCCGCCTGTTCCAGCCTAGAGGCTGTCTCTTGTCTAGCTGCAGTCAGGTTCACAGTCAAGCTTGACCATCACAGTATTCTACAGCGCTTGGTTTCCTACAATATTACCTCACTTTTTAAATTATTCTAAAGAGGGGTTTTGATCAAATACCTCAAAATTTTGTGACCTGTTAGTCATTGGTAAGATAGATGAGATTTATATTAAAATACGTAGTATTATAAAATAATTTTATTTTAGCATTTTCTCCTCGATGGTAATCTACTTACAAAGTGAGTAGGACACAGTTTATTTAAGAAACATTTGTTAATGTCTAAACCAGGTAAAAAGACTCATTTTTAAGGTCATAAAATTTGAAGTGGAGTGTGAAATTTTTTATAGCTCTTTACGGAGTGGTCACTTGAAAGAATTGCAAGTATACATTTCTGATTTTATTTCTTTCCTTCTAAAACATTTATTCATTCTTTTATTTGTTCTTTTCTTTTTAAAATTTATTTTTTGAGATAGGGTATTGCTGTGTAGCCCTTTCTGGCTAGAACTTGCTGTATAGACCGAGTTGGTCTTAAACTTGTAGTGATCAGCCTGTCTCTACCTTCTGAGTACTGGCATTGCAGGTGTGTTTCATGGTGTCTAGCTTCCAGTTTCCTTTGTTCATGTTGGTAATTATCTTATTAATCGCATTTAATTGCATTTAATCTCCCATTTACTCATATTCATTTAAATTATTCCAATATGGCATTTATGAGTACTTAGCAGATACGACAGCACTTTTACATGTGTGAGATGGTGTTTGGAATCAAGCTCAGGTCATGTGTGTGCTAGACTACTGCTGTACCAGTGAGCCACACTCCCGGCGTGCAAAAGCACTTTGCATGGCGACATAAGCTGTATCCTTGTGGCATTTTTAGCAATTGTTCTCTCTCATACATATGCAGGGAAAAATATCATTTTTTAATGAGTTACTCTGCCAGGAAAATTCATTCCTCTGTGAACATTTGTGGAGCACATACTATGTTCTGGGTGCAGTGGTAGGCCCTTTTGTTAGAGCTGTGAGCATGGCAAATGGACTGTCAGGGAGTCAGAGACTTTGACAAATGATTATAAATACAGCATAATACCTGAAGTGGGATTCCTGGTACCAGAGGAAGTGCTGAATGTATTAGTGTTAGGAAAGTATTAGATAATGCTTCTAGGAAATGATATTTAAGCTGGGATTTGAGAATTGCATGGGAGTTCAAATAGACATGACTGATTTACTGATAGAACAAGAAGTTATGTTTGATATGTTAGTTTGTTAGGGACAATGGTATTTGAAGGAGTGTAGATAAGGGGAATGTGGGATGATATAAACAGGGCAGTTCATGCAAGATCTGATAAGTCTTAATAAACAGCAGAAAGGAGCTATATGAGGTTGTTAAATGAGAATATGTATTTTAGAGATTATTCTGTTCTATCATGGAAAATTGATTGACAGGCTTTAATGATTAAATAATCTTGCAAAACTCTGAATTATAAACTTGCTATGACAGACTCTTATACTGTATTTTAGGGATAGAAACAAACTTAGTATTTGTTACATCATTACAGAGGGAGGAAATTGAGGTCTCAGAGAATTTACGGACTTGGTCATTGCTGTGGGATGTTCTGTATGTCAAATGTGTTGCTGATTAGTCAATAATTAAAACACTGATTGGCCATTGGCTAGGCAGGAAGTGTAGGCGGGACAAGGAGGAGAATAAAGCTGGGAAGTGGAAGGCTGAGTCAGAGAGACACTGCCAGCCGCCAAGATGAGAAACAGCATGTGAAGATGCCGGTAAGCCACGAGCCATGTGGCAAGGTATAGATTTATAAAAATGGATTAATTTAAGCTGAAAGAACAGTTAGCAAGAAGCCTGCCATGGCCATACAGTTTGAAACCAATACAAGTCTCTGTGTTTACTTGGTCGGGTCTGACGGCTGTGGGACTGGCAGGTGAGAGAGATTTGCCCTGACTGTGGGCCAGGCAGGAAAACTCTAGCTACAAATGGCGTCCAACGTGGTGGCAAGAGTTTCCACCTAAAAACCTGAGAAAAGATTCTAAAACGGAGCTAAAAACAGTTCCTAATTGTCTCTCTCAAATGAGCGACAGCTGCTGGTTTGAGCTACTGGTGGGTTCCTAGCTGCGTGCTCGACCTGCAGTATGGTGGGAATGAGGCCTCTGCAAGTGGCACATTAAGCTGCATGGTGGATTTAGCCTTTGCAGGTACAAAACAAAAAAAGAGGTTTCTGGGCTACACGCTGCTTGGATAAAAGCATAGAGACCCACGATAGCTCCCAGAGCTGGTGGAAAATGCCATGTTGGGAAGCTAAGGTGGGTGGAGCCAGCAGCTACAGCTGCTGCAGTTTAAGGCAATAGATTCACAATAAGACAGATTCAGATGTAATAGTTTACAATATGTGTAAAATATACGTAGGCTTAAAAGAGACAAAAAAGGTGATATATAGAGTTATAGAAACAAATACATAGTTTTAAAAAATAAAGTCTTTAAAGAGACAGTAAAGGTAGTATAAAAAATAAGCCACGTGAAGATGAATATTACACAGAGAATCTGGATTGTGTTGTCTTTGGGACTTTTAACTGCAGAAAAACATTTGATTGTAAAAGCTGTTGAGTTATGCCAATATGTATATTTTAAAGGTACCTTGACTTCAAAATTTGAATATAAGGATATGTTACTTTGGAAAGGAGACTCTGCTTTTGTTCCCACAGAAAGCCAGAGGCTATGGATTTGTTCCAGATTAAGATACATCAGGTTTGACCAGCCAAGACCCCCTGAAAGGTCTCCGATGACACCATGGCCCAGATGATCCAACATCCAGAATGGTTTGAAGGCAACTGGCTCAGACGATACAGCCTCATGGACTATTTCATAATCCTAAAATTTTCTTTGTTTCCCCATAAGATACAGCGCCCCCCTCCAGCAGGAAGTAGTAAGAGAAGCTACGCCCAAATTCCCAAATTATATGTAATTTTACTTTGTTAAGGTTAAAACCTTCCTTTTTGAAAAAAAAAAGGGGGAAGTGCTGTGGGATGTTCTGTATGTCAAATGTGTTGCTGATTAGTCAATAATTAAAACACTGATTGGCCATTGGCTAGGCAGGAAGTGTAGGCGGGACAAGGAGGAGAATAAAGCTGGGAAGTGGAAGGCTGAGTCAGAGAGACACTGCCAGCCGCCAAGATGAGAAACAGCATGTGAAGATGCCGGTAAGCCACGAGCCATGTGGCAAGGTATAGATTTATAAAAATGGATTAATTTAAGCTGAAAGAACAGTTAGCAAGAAGCCTGCCATGGCCATACAGTTTGAAACCAATACAAGTCTCTGTGTTTACTTGGTCGGGTCTGACGGCTGTGGGACTGGCAGGTGAGAGAGATTTGCCCTGACTGTGGGCCAGGCAGGAAAACTCTAGCTACAGGTCATAGCCATAACTAGATATGTGTTAGAGGTAGAACTCTAACTTCTTTATTGTTTTTTTTTCCAATGATGACAAAGTTATATATCCCCATTGCAAAATTCCAGACAGTATAGAGCTATACATAATAAAATTCTATAGGTTTTCATCATCTGCTTTTTAAATATCCTCAAAGAAGAATGTTATATTCTTATTTCATTTGCCATATTACTGAATATTAGTTTCAGGTTTTTTTATTGTCAGAAAATTATTTGTCTGTCATCTTGTGCATATACTGTCATTAGAACTGCTGCCCTCACTGTGGAGTATGGGTAAGTTCCTCTCCAGCTTGTAGATAAAAATAATGGTTCATGTAGGTTATAGAATAATAGGGATGGGAAAATGAGGCTGTTGGGGAGGAGCTAGCCAAAATAAAGTGTGCATGAAGAAGTTTTTCTACCTGAGTAAAAAGTAAAATGAGTGAGCATAGTACAATACATGTGATGTGAGAACTGGCTGGGGGCGGCGAGCGTGGCAACTGAAGGTTTAAGCAGATATGGGGCAGGGGCGTGGGAGAAAGAAGGGAGGGGGTTAGAGGAATGAAGTGTATGAAGAATCCGTATGAAGCTTCTCTAGTTTGTAAGCTATTTAAAAGTGTAACAAGAAAGGAGCTTCTGTTGTACTTGAAACCTGTAATAAGCTTGAAATTTTGTGGGTAACTTAAGGTAAGGATCTAAATCTGTCTTAACCCCACACCGTAGCCAATCGTAGTCTAGAAATTTCTTATGTTTTTAAATACTCCAAACCATTCTGAACCATTATGTCTCTGCTGAGTGGAAATGTCTGTTTACTGTTAGTTCACTTCTACATGACTCTTATTTCTTTAGTTTTTAGATTGTATTTTTAGTCATGCTCTTTATTTATTTATTTATTTGTTTGTTGTTGTTTTGTTTTTTTAGTGTTTTCAAGACAGGGTTTCTCTGTGTAGCCCTGACTGTCCTGGAACTCACTCTGTAGATCAGGGTAGCCTCAAACACACAGAGATCTGCCTACTTCTGTCTCCTGAGTGCTGGGATTAAAGGTGTGCGACACCACCACCTAGCTTATCTTTTCTTACACTTAGGAAAACTGTATTTTTAAAATATGGATTTCCTGTTTGTGCTTCTATAAATTTGAAGATTCTGTGTTGTTATTATTCCTATGTGATGGTACAGCTACTATTCCAGTTTGTTTAGACTTTCTTAGTTTTCAAACAGTCAAAAAACTATACCATTGGAAATGTTACAGAAGTAGATGAAGTTTTTTTATGTTAAAGGACTTGACTAGGTCTCTGAACTAGTATGTGGTGGAGCTAGTGTTATTGCCTGTTAACTCAGAAGATGTCTTTTTTCCATGTCCTCTCATAATAATAAACAAAAAGCAGAATAACATAGCATAAACACAATGTTTTAGCATGAAGTCTGAGCTAGGACCATGTTTGTTGTTAGGATCCAAAAATTATAAAGGATCTTTAGTGGGAAAATTTGAGCTAGAAATATGTGTCTTGACAAAGCATCCGTTGAAGCTGGATCACTTTGCTGAGATTACCTGCCTCTGGACAGTGTTTGGTGAGCAGGTCTGCATGTGGCTCTTGGACCAGTAGTGTCAGCATTTTCTGGGAACTTGTTATAACGAGATGTACATTACATATATAGACTGAGAAACTGTTTTATATGTCCCCCTGGTAATTCTCACATGTACGATAGCTTGAGAGACACTAAAACACTTTTTAGTGATACCAGTTTTTCTGGGTTAATGCTGTATTTCTCTTTCTTTCAAGTTAAGACATTTTAAAGCTGAAGTTCGTTCTTTCTAGAAGTAAAAATATTTTATGAAGTTGCATTCCTTTTTCCTTCCTCAGTTTCCTTGATATTTCATGAAGATTGTACTGTGGTGACTGAAGTCGGGGCATTGTTTTGTCTTCTCTTGTTTGATGAGGTATCAAGAATGGATACATGGTGAGATATAAGGATTTCTATTTGTTTTTACCCTAGCTCATCTAAGGTCTGATGCACCCCTACAGCAGTGCATTGAGTTCTTTTGACTTAAAGCTTTCCATTCTGTACACATGTGTTGATGCTTTTTGGTTTGAATAAGTGGTATTTAAAAACCCATGAGGTTTCTCCACAGTGTTGGGGCATCATCTTCAGCCTATAGGCTTAGCATATCTGACAGACTCATTTGTGAGGTAGGATGTACACAAGGTCGACAGTTCAACCTCACATTGGGTGAGAGCAGTCCATGTACCAGAAACACCTGAATTCCACTAGTGTCATGTCATGACTCAGGATTTTAAATTCTGGAAATTGTTGTTGATTTTTTAATTCAGCTGTCCATTCTTGGCTGTGTATATATGGCTTCATCTTAACATCCCGTTCTTCTCCACATCCCTCTGTCAAATGCCAGTTTACTATTGCGAGGCGTGAGCTTAGTTACTCTTCAAGAATAACTGTTTCAGCTGCTGTTCCATTGCACATCAGAAGCCATCGGCCCACTGCCTATTCAGCTGCCTTCGAAGAAAAGGGCACTGTGACTGTCCAGGCAGCTGGCTGTTTCTGTCAACTCACAAATTTTTTGGAAGTTGCTTGCATGCACTTTCTGTTTTTATTTTTGTTAGCTAATATTATTTCCTTCTTGGGTCTCTGAGGGAGTTGAAGATTAGTTAGTTATAGTTGAAGGTTAGTTAGTTATAGTTGAAGATTAATTAGGATAGAAAGTGAATTAGATACATTTTGGACTTAACAAAATAGGATAGATAATGAAATTATTTTCTCTGAATTTGTCAAATACAAATGGACTAGACATTGTTTAGACATTTATTACTTGTATATATTGTATATAGTCATTGTACTTTTGTATATAATTTTTCTTTTGTTAGTTATAACCTTTTTCTTTTTTTTCCTTTTTATTAAAATAGAAAAGGGGAAAAAAAAATAAATACATTTTAAGATTGAAAAAAAAAAAAAAAATTAGGCTTTGTATCATTTGACAAGCCAGAATACATAGAAGATAATCTCTATTTTATGTAAAGTGAACAGTTATCCTTCCAAGTGTCCTTAAATATAAACTTTCAATGAATGGTGTGATTATTTTGATCGTGCTTGTTCTCCAAATCAAATTAAATTCATTGTCTACAAAAAAAAAAAAAAAAAAAAAAAAAAAAAAAAAAAATAAAAACCCATGAGTTCAAAAAGTCACCCTAAATTATATTTTTGAGCATAACTAAGTATAAATTTAAAATAATTATTACAGTGATTTTTGTCTTGGATATGTTTTTAGTACATGTTTTCAGCTTTGTGTACTTTAAGATTATTATTTAAAAAGTATAAAATATTTAGAATGATAGTCTTTGATTAAAATGACCTTAAGAAGCATCAGTGGGGCTGGTGCACACCTTTAATCCCAACATTCATAAAGCAGTGGCAGGAAGATCTCTTTGAGTCCAAGTCAGACCTGATGTACAGAATGAGTTCCAGGACAGCTAGGGATGTTACACAGAGAAAAGCTGTCTCAACAAAACAAAACAAAACAAAACAAAACAAAAACAAAAACAAAAAAACACCAAAAAAAAAAAAGCATCATCATCGGTGGGAGGGGCCACAGGATTCACTTGCTGCTGTGTCCACTCTGTTATATGAGTCTTTATATCAGTTCAGGTGGTGGCAAGCACTTGACTACACTGAATGTTGGTTAGACTCAGTTACACAGGTATGCACTGTCCAAGGGTGGATGGGTTGTACTGCACAGAACTTTGACCCACTCAGTTTCCCCCTCTTCCCCTTTTATAGGTCTGTTGGTCCTTGTAATAACCCTTTGCCTTCGGTCTTCAGTCTGCCTGTTTCAGTCTTCAGGAGGTAAGGGATTGATTTATCTTATTTTCATGAATGACAAACTATTGCTATACAAATTACAGGAGAGCTGAAAGAACCGCAGTGTGTCTGTGCTCCCTCCAGTCTTGAGTCATCGCTGCCAGCATTGTTAGCAGTTGCTCACATGCTGTCTCTTTCTCCATATATCGTTTTTATTTTCAACCATTTGAGAATAAGCTTTTCACTTTTTAAAAATGCAGAGTACAATCAAGATCATGTACTGAATTTGATTTATGTCTATTTAGGACTTGAAAATATGTAAGTCATTTTTCTTTTTTGTATAATATATATGAAATTTATATACAGCCCTTTTATTTTTTTCTCAGTAAACACATCTGTAGAAATACTATGAAGATAACGATGTAGCTGTTGCTTCTATTTTCCTTGGTTACTTTTTACTACTCCAAAATATAATCCTGTTTTAATTTCTATCACTATAGCTTATTTTTGATGACTTTTGAAGATTATCAACATAGTGCATTCTTACATTTTGTTTATTTTATTCAACTTGGAAGGATTTACTTATGTCATTTCATGAAGTAATATTTTTATTTATAGTTTTATTTAACCATATTAGCTCTAAGTTTAATATTTTTCATATTTCTCCTGCTTGATGCTTGAATTCTCTTATATGTTTGAATGGACTTGAAAGATTTTTGCTGGTACTTATTTAAAACTTCTTTTTAATTCATATAAGTGTAAAGACTTGATTCCAGAATAAGGTAGCACTGAGGACCTGAGTGAGGTTCAGGTGTTCCTCCGCGGTGGTGTGGGCAGCAGCTCCTAGCGGCTGGCACGAAAGGGAAAGGACAGGGTTTGGCTGGTCAGGGTGGAAGCAACAAGTCCAAGGTTAGGGCAGCTTCTGGTTGAAGTCTAGTTAAGATTTAGGTCTGCATTATGCAGTGATTTTTTTTCTTGAATAAACACTATTACTTTTAAAGTTCTTATCTGATAACTTCACCATTTGGAATATCAGTGATCTACTGCCCAGCTTTAAATGTCATTTTGTATTAGTCAGCTTCATAGCAATATAATAAAATATTTGATATAATTAACTTAAAAGCGAAAGGTTTACTTTGGCTACTGTTTTGGAAGGGTGGTATAATATTGGGGTCAGCTTTGCATTGAGCCTCTAGTGAGGGCATCACATCACTGCAGAAAGTTCAACAGTGCAGAACCACCTACCATGTGAACCAGAGAGCTGTGAAGCAGGAAACTGGAGTCTCAAGGTCCTTTTTGAGGAAATACCCTCAGCTGACCTAAGGAACTCTGTTGTGGAAATTAGCCCCGCCAATGACCTTGGGGTATCTGGCCCGATAGAGGTGTGGTTTTTCTGGTATGTGAAGAATGTCAGAAGTTGGTATTTGTAGTTTTTATAGGCAATTATTCTGATTGACATTGCTTTTCGTTCATTGCAGTTAGAATTTCCTTGATTTTTATAGAACAATATCTCCATTCCCTCTTTCTCCATTTTTATTAGGCCTATTCTTGAACTATGTATGATTATTTCATTAGTGCTATTGAGCTAATCATGGGTGGTGGTGCTGGTTTTCAGTGAGAGCCGTGCTTTTTCTCTGAAGTGGATGCCTTTAGGCCCGTGATTGCCTGATGGTCTTTGTCAGCAATTTTGCATCCATTGATGATACTTTCCGTATAATTATTTCTTTAGGCTTGTTTCTTTTTTACCTCTAGTAAATAACATCCCTCTGCTTGTTTTTCCTTTCTTCTTAGAGTATTACTATGGAACTTCCATAGTTTTGTTTTGTTTTTTTGACTCAGCCTCCTGAGTGCTGAGATCAAGAGGCGTGTGTCACCCCATCCAGCTTGGACCATTCACGTTTTAAAATAAAGAATATCATCCATTATCTTTATTCTTTGAAGTGAGATTATTTCTTGTTTATCTAGTGCTCTTCTGTTTTCTGACATGACTTCACAAATCAGTTAGTGCTTTGTCGTTTTCTGGTGCAGAGATAGTCAAGGCACACAGTCCTCTAGACCAGCAGTAGCCTAGTCTAAGAAAACCTGTTTTTTTTGTCTTAAAAATACTTACGTTATTTATGTGTATGTGAGAGAAAGAGATTGTGTGTTGTGAGAATGCAGTTGCCCAACAAGGCCAGAAGAAGGCATCAGCTTCCCTAGAGCTTCAGTTGCAGGCTTTGGTGACCTGCCTGATGTGGGTGTTGGAAACCTCCTTGGTTTTCTGCAAGAGTAACAAGTGCTCTTAACCAATGAGTCAGCTCTTCATCCCGGCCTTGGTAGTTTTCAGTGGAAAGTTGCTATTAAAATGTTTAAATTGCTGTTAAAATATTAGAAGCTATTAAAAGTAGCTTTACTTACTAAATTATACAGTCTGATTTGGATATGAAATTATAGTATTGATTCTTTCATTGGTATGTTGAAAGTGAAAATGAAAGCATGTGTCAGTGGCTCTTATAAACTAAATGCTACAATTGTTTGTATGACATTGGCCATTAATAATGTAAATTAGTGATTTGTGGGTTTAGTTTTTTAAAATTATTTTTAAAAATTTATTTTATTTTATTTTTTGCTGGTGAACCCAGGCTGGTGAACCTAGACACGAATTTGATAACTAAACTATAGCCCCAGCCTACTAGAATATTTTGCATTATTAAAACTATACTTAACATTTTTAATGTATTAGGTGTGACTGTCTTGCTAAACACTGTTAAATTAGCTTGGGTTCATTTAAGAGACATTGGTATTGAATTTCTTCATGTATCTAGAAATACTTACGGAATCTTGAGTTTATTGATCACTCTTTTCTTAAGGGAAGACAGTAAGTGGAGCTCAGTCACTTAGTGACTTTGATCATGGACAAGTCTGGAGCTCCCTTTTGTCCATCTGTACAGTGGATGCCGTAGCAACACACACGTCACTGGAGAGATGGTGGTTTCAATGTTTGTCCGGAAGTCAGCCTTGGTGTTTTAGCCAAGCATCTTTAATGCTTAATTTACTGTAGTCATTGTTGCTGACTTCAAGGAGCACTGGCTATCTCTGCAACAATCCTAATGTATAGAATGTAGCAATTCATCAAGGAAGAATAATGAAGTGTTTTGGAATGTGGAGGAAAGTGAAAGAATAATTAAGATATTATATAAAATGTGATAAAGAGTCACAACTAGCTCTCACTTTTTGCCCATTACTTGAGTCCTATTTAAGAAATTACAGTGTGCAATTATTTAAATTCTTTTTCTTTAGGTATCATTTACCAGTTCATGTGATCGGCCACCATGCTGTGAGTCCTTACTCAATAGTTTTGCCGTTGTCTGCTGAGTGCTTGGCCTTGAAGCCTGTGTCCGATATGCTAAGAATAGCTTGGAACCTGGCATGGTATCATGGGAGTGATAATCTACTGAAACAAATGACCTCTGAAGCTAAAATTCAAGAGTAAGTACTTATATTAAGGTAAATTACATGAAATCAATTAGGCTTCACCTTTTCTGTAGATTAAAAGCTTTTTTGCTTGATATTATCAACTGATTCCAACTTTATTATATTTTCATTTTTTAGATCTATGCCTATTAAAAATTATATAAAGCCATTTAAGCTAGATAGGATTGTTGTATTCTATGCTGTCTTAGGAACTATATAGTGTTTGTTCAGTTAATAGATGTACTTAAAGGTGCTGTGGCATTAAAGCTCAGAAAGTATACCTGAGAATGTTCCTACGTCTAGATGTTTTAATTGTCCCACAGGAATAATACTATATTAGTGTGTCATTGATAGGGAGGAAGAAGTTAGTATCCACAATTTGAATGCTAATGTAAAACTATGACAATGATGGATTTATATGTTAGTTTTCTTTAACCGTAAGTTAGCCTTTAATGAAAAGCAAATGAAGACAAAAAGAATTTTTGAGAGAGGTTTATGATAGAAATAAACCTGGGATTATGTTCTTTTTAAATTTTTTTCTTTTATGCTTAGATTTTTAGATGTATTGCAGCTATCCACAGAAGATATCCTTACACTGAGGATCACATACACAGCTAGTGGGCTGCAAGACTGCTTTCACTCCATTGTTCAGGCTGGAGGCCACAGGGATGTGAGGGCTGCTATCACCAGGATGAGTTTTTATCTTTTGAATGACAAACTGTCTTTGAAGGATGACATTGGTCCATGTGGGATTACGTTAAAATCCTTGGCTTGGCACACTGTGCTAAACAGGTTAGTGTAAGTTTAAGACTGCTCGTTTGAAAGACCTAATTTGAATTATGTTTAGGATCATCTTCAAACCTTTGAAGAGAAGAGTATGTATTTGTACAGTTGTTATCATGAGAGAAATGCTTTTTATAGAAGGAAAAGCTCCAGGATAGTTTGTTATCTATGATAAATAATAACAGAAGAGAGGAACTTGACCTTAGTCCTGACGTTCCTAAAGGGGTTATTTATAAACATAACACAATTTATTTATTAATCTAGCTTAGAAAATTTTATCTCACAAAAGTAAATAATGAGGATACCACATGGATGAACCACACTGAGTGTTTATTCCTGTCCATATTGTAACTGAACTGAGACATTAGTAGATTGACAAATAGCTTTGCTACACCTGCTACTGGATGTTTTGTTTTGCCTACATTTTCTTCTCAAATAAATGATTTCATATTTCTTTCTGATCAAATTTCATAAGGTTAATGACCATGTGGTTGTCTTTTGATAATTATTAGAAAGATTCTAACTTGTAAATTTCAAAAGTTGAACTGGTAGCAGATGGCTACATTTGAAACAAGACTAAGACTGAGAAGCCCTCCCTGCAAACAGTTTTTCATTTATTGTGCACATGAATAGTGTAAATGTGTAACTTTCTGAATAGACACAGTGTATAACTTTCAAAATGATAGGTCATATGCGTTTGTATATGTGAATTTCTCTAGTTCATTGTTAAGGCTGTAATTATAACTAAGCCTCTCCAGTGGTATGCCAAACCAGCTCGTGAGATAGCTTTGCTGAAGAGCTGATGCCTTGATTTACGGTATTTTCAAATTAGTTATATGAAAAAATAACTATATGAAGTATCATTTCATATATTGTTAACATATGAATTATATGAAAAGTAAAAGTAATAAATGTGAAAAATGTCACTTTTTAATTGCTTTACATTTTACTGTTGTCTCTGTTCTTGTGGTTATTTGTAATGAATCTTTTATGGAAGCATTGTTGTATTGTGTGCTCCTGGTACAACTTTTCACAGCCCCCTAGTACACTGTAGCTTAGAACAGGCCACAGTGGGGATATTATACTAGGTAAATTGGCAAACACAGCACATTAGTACTCTGTTTTATCAGACTACTCCATTTACATATGCCACCTTAAGCATGTACAAACTTTGCAGTTTCAATAAATTTGATATATTCTATTTGTCAGAAAATTAAATGGCAAAAGCCATTAATATATCTTGACTTCATTGTAGACACTAGATTTTCTTTTGTGCATTAAAACTCTAATTGTATGCTGTACCAGACTGAAGCAGAGGCTCTCTAATGTACCAGTGGAAGCCTCCAGGTAGTTCAAGTTGTACAGTAGCAGTAACTATAGGTGAGTGTCACATTTTTACGATGATATTTTTCCATAGCTGTGAATCTGCTGTATCCATGCATTCAACCAACTGTGGCTTGAAATACTAAAAAAGATTGGCTGGCCAGATGGCTTAATGGTTAAGAGAATTGATGTTCTTGCAAAGGACCCGAGCTCATTACCGGCACCCATATAGGGTGGCTCAAAATTGCATATAATTTCAGTTTATAGAGATTCCATTCCCTTATCAATCTTATTGGGCACCTGCACACACATGGTGCACATATATACATATAAATGAACAATTCCCAGGCTGGAGAGATGGCTCAGTGGTTAAAAGCACTGACTGTTCTTCCAAAGGTCATGCGTTCAGTTCCCAGCAACCACATGGTGGCTCACAACCACCTGTAATGAGATCTGGTGCCTTCTTCTGGCCTGCAGGGACACATGCAAGCAGAACACTGTATATATAATAAATAAATCTTAAAAAAATAGAAAAATAAAAAAAATAAAAAAATAAAAAATTCTCCAAAATAGAAGCATCTGTGATGAAAAGATGTTTTCCGTGTGACTGTTTCCTAAACAATATAGTGTAACAACTGTATGCATGATATTTACATTGTATTGAACAGTCAAAGTTATGTGGAGGTAATAGAGTGCTCATGGGAGGATACCCATAGGTTATATGTAAATACACTGCTATGCTACAGAAAGGAGTTGAGCAATTGCAGATAATTGTGCTAGGAGCCCAGGTAATGCATACTGGGGAATGTCAGAGCCCACAGGGTGATTTTGTCTTGCCATGTATCTGATGAGTCCCCTTCTGTGTTTCCCTGTTAACAGTCCTGCACCTCCAATGTGAGGACCTTTTAAAGAATGACTATTCCATTTTTGGACCTTGACCATAAGTTCTTGTTTTGAACTGTTACTTTGTAATTATACCTACTAGTATGTCCTTAAATTTACTCAGAATTAATCATAACTGTATTTGCATGTGACCTCTTTCCAGTTATTTAGGTATAATTTCTTCTAATTTTTCTCCTCACTTGCTCTCAATGTTCTTTAGACTTTTTATTTGTTCATACTTCCTCTATCACCGTGATGTGATGACTTTTAAAAGGGAGGTATTAATGTGGGATGGAGTAGACAAAGAAAAAAAGAATTTTTTTTTTCCTTAGTGAATTTAGCAAACATTTGTTTACCTACTAGGTGCTAGGCACGTCTAGGAAATTTAATAGTAAGCAAAACAAATATGTCCCCTATTATCATGGAACTCATGGTGAAGGCAGATAGTGTTACCAATAGTGGTACTGCTCCCAAGGAGGAGACTGGATGAAAGGGTTTCTAATCTCACCCAGGAGGGGCCTAGTGTTTCAAGGGAAGAAGTTTAAGTCAAGGAATGATAGAGGTAAGTACGATAGAAATAGGACAGATGCCAGGCGAAGGATGAAGTCCTTCCATTAGAGAAGAGTACCTTTGAATAACAGAAAGAGAAATTACACGTGGACTTAAGGGATGTGGGAGCTGATACACAATGATGCTATAGGGATGGTATGATTTTGTTGAGTGTCATGGAAGATTTCTTGAAATTTTTATGACTTTGACATTTTATTTTGTTAGAATCATTTCTTCATTCTATCTTTAAAAATATAGTTTTCTAATTTGTACTCCTTTAAATCAAGATTTGATGTTTTTTTTTCAACTGAATGCCATTTTCTCAAAGTAGACAGTTTAAGTAAAAAGGTGTAATATAGCAATCCCAATATTATAGCAAATATCGCATAACTAACTTTGCCATGGTGATGGACTGCCTGCATTAGCATTTATGTTCTAACACTTAGTAGCCACAAGACCATGAAAAAATTACCTAACTATATCTTTGCCTGGCTTTTCTCATTTTAAAAATGGAGCTATCAAGGTTTTGGAAACAAGCTTTTAAAATTGTGGCAAAAGGTCAGTGAGTGGTGGATGCTGTGTGACCTAATTCTTGTTACTGTTACTCAAACAACATATTGATAAAGCTCCTTTGGGTGCTTTTAAATAAGCTGTTACCAATGTTGCTGAATCTCATTTCTCTTCCCAATTGCCTTTTTAAAAATGCTTTTTTAAGTTTTACCTTTTTTTCCCCTACAGAAATTTTCTTGTCTAACAACCTTCTTGCTATCTTACACCAGTGTTTATTTAAGAATCTCAGAAAGTTGGTTTGACTTCTGTTATTCTTAAAAAGAGATTCTTCCTAAGCCTCCTTTCAGCCTGTTGCAAAAATCTAGTAACTTCTTTGCAAGATTGTGTATGTGTGTGGTCCCCCCCTCTTCTTTCTTGATTTTGCCACCTTGATTTTCCTAGTAGTCAGACTTGGATTTGAAATCGTAATTCTTATCAGTGAAGCCTGGCACTGCCAGTTTGAAAATGCACAAGTAGAGGGAGTGTTTTCCTCCCGGCATCCCCTTTGACACTTTTCTTGAAGTTTCTATTTTAATTTTGGCAATCCTGGGTGAACCTGGAGTTCCATACATGGGAGGCAAGTGTCTGACCACTGAGCCTCAGCCCCTGTTGAGCTTGCGCTTTTTCTTACCGAAGTACTTCTCACTTCGTTTTCTTTCATCACTAACTTCACCACATTTTCCTCCACCGTGGCTGATGTTTTGGGAGGCAAATGGCTTTCCTTCATCTGTGCATTTCCCAGTACTCTAGATAAGCATCTGGAGTCTTACCTTAGAAAATTTGTGCTTGTGTTGACTTCACATACTTGATAAACAGTGATGACGTGTGCATTTTTAAGAGCTAGAAATCATGATTACTGTCTGTTTCTAAAATACAGGTTTTTACAAGTGCTTCCTGCTTCCACTGAAGATGAGAAACTTCTAATAGACATCATACATTTTTTGAATAAGTTAATAAAGGAACAAAGAAAAAATCCATCAATAGGACTTTTACAGTGGATTCTAGAGTTACTTCTTAGGCATGTAAGTGTGTTCAAAGAATTTAAACTTTTTGTTTGGGAAGGACCTTGCTTGGAAAAACCCCATATTATAAAAGAATGTTTTTATAACATGTGTTTAATAAAATAATTCTTACCTGTGGTGAATGCTAATTGCAGTGTGGCCTCTCTGATATGATTGACTGTTTTTTTTCAACGGGCATCCCATAGAGTGAGTGAGACCTTGCATTTTGATGTTTAATAAATCCAGTTCTGTTTGTGAGGTTTTTAGTGTATTTTAGTTTTTTTAATGTTAGTGAATTTTAGAAAGTTTTTATATAATTTTGGGAATTTCATACAATATATTTTTATCATATTTTTCCCTGCCCTTACCACTTCCAGATCTTACCCCACCTCTCTACCCACCCAACCTCGTATTCTTTCTTTTAAAAAAACACTAAAACCCAAATAAACAACAAAAAGAAGCGTACACACACACACACACACACACACACACACTCACTCTTACACATACACACACATACTCTTACACATACATACACACACCACACCACACCAAAAAAATCACATGGAATCCTATATATGTTGGCCACCATTTCTGAGCATGGGGAATGCCCTGGAGTGTGGCTGATACACCCAGTGTCTTTCCGTTGTGAAAAAAGAAAACAAACAAACAAAAAAACTAACTTCCCTTCTCCCAGCAGCTAACAATTGCACATAGCTTCTGGATAGTGGTGGGACTTTGTGTGCTACAGAGTCTCTCACTTTCTGTGATTGTCCAGTTGTGGGTCTGTATGTTCATTACCATCTATTGCAAGAAGAAGCTTCTCTGATGAGGGCTGAGAGATGCACTGATTTCTGGGTATAGCAGTATGTCATTAGGAGTGATTTTATTGCTTTGTGCATTTAGCAAGGTAATAGTAGTAGGTTTTCTCATAGGGCCTATGACCAATCTAGTGTCAGGCCTGATTCCATATCATGAAGCATGCCCTTAGTCCAGTTTAAAACAAAGTTGTTAGTTACTCCTGTAACGTTTGTGCCACTGTTGTGCCAGTTGGTATATCTTACAGGCAGGGGGCGATTATAACTTGGATGGTTCATAACTGGCTGAGATTGATGATGACTTTTCTTATAGCACCTTCCAGAACTGTGAATGCTAGTCTGTAGGGGTGAAGCATCTAGTTGGATTGACCAGCTCTGTTTCTCCATGTTCTGTGACATAAGTATTTGGTGTTTTCAGCAATAGAATGTTGCTTTTAGGTTGTGGACTGTAAAGAGAAATATCAAAATATCAAAAAAGGTAATTGTCTTAGTCAGTGTTCTGTTGCTTTGAAGAGACATCATTATCATGGCAACTCTTATAAAAAAGCATTTAATTTGGGCTTGTTTAAAGTTTCAGAGGTTTTGTCCGTTATCAGCATGGCAGGGAGTATGGTGGCATTCAAGCAGGCATCATGGTATTGGAGAAGGAGCTGAGAGTTTTACATCCAGATTCACAGGGAGCAGGACAAGAGAGCCATGGCCTAGGCGGCTTTGGCTTTTGACACCTCAAAGCCCACTCCAGTGACACATTTCCTCCAACAGGCCACACCTACTTCAGTAAGGCCACACCTCCCTAACCCTCTCAAGTAGTACTACTCCCTGATTAAGTTTTCAAATACATGAATCTGTGGGGGCCGTTCTTATTCAAACCACCACATTAAGGAAGCCTGAAAGATGCCTAAAGACGAAGTAGGAGAGAACTGGGTGCATGGCACTCAGTTGCTGTGGGATGTTCTGTATGGCAAATATGTTGCTAATTAGTCAATAAATAAAACACTGATTGGCCATTGGCTAGGCAGGAAGTGTAGGCGGGACAAGGAGGAGAATAAAGCTGGGAAGTAGAAGGCTGAGTCAGAGAGACACTGCCAGCCGCCACCATGACAAGCCGCATGTGAAGATGCCGGTAAGCCACGAGCCATGTGGCAAGGTATAGATTTATGGAAATGGATTAATTTAAGCTGTAAGAACAGTTAGCAAGAAGCCTGCCACGGCCATACAGTTTGTAAGCAATATAAGTCTCTGTGTTTACTTGGTTGGGTCTGAGTGGCTGTGGGACTGGCAGGTGAAAGAGATTTGTCCTGACTGTGGGCCAGGCAGGAAAACTTAAGCTACAAATGGCGTCCAACGTGGTGGCAAGAGTTTCCACCTAAAAACCTGAGAAAAGATTCTAAAACGGAGCTAAAAACAGTTCCTAATTGTCTCTCTCAAATGAGCGGCAGCTGCTGGTTTGAGCTACTGGTGGGTTCCTAGCGTGCGTGCTCGACCTGCCTGTGGCGGGAATGAGGCCTCTGCAAGTGGCACATTAAGCTGCATGGTGGATTTAGACTTTGCTAGTACAAAACAACAACAAAAAAGAGGTTTCTGGACTACACGCTGCTTGGCTAAAAGCATAGACCCACGATAGCTCCCAGAGCTGGTGGAAAAGGTTGGGAAGCTGAGGTGGGTGGAGCCAGCAGTCACAGCTGCTGCAGTTTAAGGCAATAGATTCACAATAAGACAGATTCAGATGTAATAGTTTACAATGTGTGTAAAAGATACGTAGGCTTGAAAGAGACAAAAAAGATGATATATAGAGTTATAGAAACATAGTTTTAAAAAATAAAGTCTTTAAAGAGACAGTAAAGGTAGTATAAAAAATAAGCCACGTAAAAATGGATATTACACAGAGAATCTGCATTGTGTTGTCTTTGGGACTTTTAACTGCAGAAAAACATTTGATTGTAAAAGCTGTTGAGTTATGCCAAAATGTATATTTTAAAGGTACCTTGACTTCAAAATTTGGATATAAGGATATGTTACTTTGGAAAGGAGACTCTGCTTTTGTTCCCACAGAAAGCCAGAGGCTATGGATTTGTTCCAGATTAAGATACATCAGGTTTGACCAGCCAAGACCCCCTGAAAGGTCTCTGATGACACCATGGGCCAGATGATCCAACATCCAGAATGGTTTCAAGGCAACTGGCTCAGACGATACAGCCTCATGGACTATTCCATAATCCTAAAATTTTCTTTGTTTCCCCATAAGATACAGCGCCCCCCTCCAGCAGGAAGTAGTAAGAGAAGCTACGCCCAAATTCCCAAATTATATGTAATTTTACTTTGTTAAGGTTAAAACCTTCCTTTTTGAAAAAAAAAAGGGGAAGTGCTGTGGGATGTTCTGTATGGCAAATATGTTGCTAATTAGTCAATAAATAAAACACTGATTGGCCATTGGCTAGGCAGGAAGTGTAGGCGGGACAAGGAGGAGAATAAAGCTGGGAAGTAGAAGGCTGAGTCAGAGAGACACTGCCAGCCGCCACCATGACAAGCCGCATGTGAAGATGCCGGTAAGCCACGAGCCATGTGGCAAGGTATAGATTTATGGAAATGGATTAATTTAAGCTGTAAGAACAGTTAGCAAGAAGCCTGCCACGGCCATACAGTTTGTAAGCAATATAAGTCTCTGTGTTTACTTGGTTGGGTCTGAGTGGCTGTGGGACTGGCAGGTGAAAGAGATTTGTCCTGACTGTGGGCCAGGCAGGAAAACTCAAGCTACACTCAGTCCTTACTGTAAGGTACTAAAGGATTTACTTGTCCAGCCTTTACTTGTCTTACATTTAGCTGAATGTTTCTAAGAAACTTGCTAAGAACGCTAAAGCTAGCTTACTTGTGGTGCTCATGGCTTTGTTCATTTATGTATTTCTATGAACTTAGTAAGCCTTTTCAGAAATGAGAAAGTACACAGGAATTAGAGGCAAATATGTCTATTATGTTTTGACATATTTACAAAGTTTATAAGAATACCAAGATCTGTATGTCAAAACTTGGAAATTCTAATTCACAGGAATGTTTATATACAACTTAAGTTTTTTTTATGTTCTTTAATGTAAACCAGTGAAATCAGATAGTTTTGCTCATAATTAAATGCCTACTTCTATCTTAATACTGCCTATGAACAATTGTTAATTCAAACACACGTAACTTTAATTTTGCAGTTTGCTTACCTATACTAAAATGGTCATGGTAAAGTATGTTCAAGGTACATGTGCAAGTCCATTTATAAACTATAAATTTGTAGAATTATTTCTGTGCCATGTTGCAATTCCGTGAGTATGTGCTCATGAATGGGTATATGTGTGTGTTTTTTGAGTTTGTTGTTGTTGGTATTGTGCTGGAAATAACTTACTTTAAGTGAGGTAGAGATGTTTATATACTTGAGGTATTATTTTATTTTCTACAAATTGCTTCTTGATTTCTTGCTGGTTCTACTCCATAATTGGCTGGCTGCCTTCCTTTATTCATTCCTTTCACTCTTTCATGAAGGAAGGAACTTTTCATAAATTAGGGAGACCTTTGAATTACAGATACTTTTGTTATGGTTTGTCATTGTTTGTTTGATCGATATGAATGCTTCATCTGGGCAAAGAATACTGATAGGAAGTCAAAGACAAATCCATTAATTTTCAGAGGGTAGACTGGGAACTGTCCTCCTTTGGAATTTTTGCCTTGGGTCTTATCACCACTTTATTATAAGGAACGTATTGTTTAAGAATTCTTTGAGAATATTACCTTACTCTTCTGTATCTTAATATAATGCTATTTTGTTTATCTAGAACTAGCTAATAAGAGCCAATTCAGATTCTTATCAGAATGATTTTTTAAATGGAAATTCATAAAATTGGGGCTGTAATTTAATTTTTTTCCTTCTTTTGGGGATGCTTCTCAGAACTGCTTTTTTGTTGACTTTCCTGTAACGTGCCCTGGTGCCATAGTTCACTGAAATCATTGCACAGCCTTCAGGCACAGACTGTTGATGAGTGTGAAGTTAGGTGTATGTGCCCAAAGAAAATGAGCCATTGCTGTACAAATGTTTTGCTCTTTAGAGGTCAGCAGTGACAAATGAAGGGTCAAGTAGTTAGTTTAAAATGAGGATAGAATACTAATATGAAAAGACAGAAGCTTGAGGTGTGAGAGATTAAGCAGCTGCAATCAGAAGACATCAGCAGAACCATCCTCCCTGTTCCCTCTTGTACTTTTCTTGTGTTTTAGAAGTGATACTGTAAAGTTCACTGGATTTGAATGTTAACATGTGCATTGACGATACAGAAGGAGAAAAGTCTCAGCAGTCGGCAAGCAGAGACAGCTTACTAGTTAGATTGAGTCTTTGGGCAAATCTTACTTTTAGATAAATACTTCGTATCATTATGGCAGTCAGTGATTTCTGTTTAATTTTTACTTGTACATCAGAATAAATGTTTCCTGATTGTTATGTATAGACATTTGAGAATCTTAGTATGAATAGATTGTTTATTTTACCACTACTTATAGGAGTCAGTTGGCATATATGTGTGAGTTGCCTATATGATCCTATAAAAAATATATTGATTTTTTTAAATAACCCAGGTGTGTGCCCTGATTCTTTTATTCATGGGAGAAAATAGATTTGTCAGCTATGTTTTAGGTAATTTTAATTGTCCCATGGGTATTTTTTGCTTAAGATAAAATAAAAAGCTTGAAAAAAAGCACTGCTTAGGTATAAAGTATAGTAATGTAAATTAGAACCAAGACAGTCCTCCCCAGGTCTTTACCAAGGTTTCCACTGATATACTTTTAGACTTACCTATCTGATTTATGTATTCTCAACATACTTTGTAATATAAATAATTTTTATATATTTTTATACAGAGAAGATTTTTTTCTCTGAATTTCTTTTGGCTAGATGCAATGCAGGCATTTTTAAGTTGAGTTCTTTACACAAAGAATTTAATAAGAGCAGTAGCTACATTTAGATTTGATCAATTTGTATGTTGTTATATGCACTGGTGATGTAGCAGTGTGCTAAGAATGAGTATTAACTAGATTTGGAGTGTGATGCCTCTTGCTCTGCTTTGTAGGATTTATCCTCTTTTTCTATTGGATTGCCTATTTGTAATACACATGTGAAGACAGATTTTCTAGTTACTCAGAAAGTTAAATGAAATCTTGTCTTTTCCTCCTTTAGCATGGTGTTTGTAACACCAAAATGATTAATGTGCCGCTGTCTAATACCTTATAATGGTTTCTACACTCAATGTTGTTAGAAATAACAGTTTTTCAGTTGGTAAACAGGACAAATTTTATAAAGTGGAAGTTTGATTCACTTCTTTTACTTTCACGTCCTGCTTAGTCATATAAGTCAGTACTCCCCCCCCCCCCCCCCCCAGATAATATGGAAAGTTTAAAACTATTGCAGTGGTTTGTCTTGGTGATTTCTTGGCTTACAATTTTTATATGTGTCCTAATCAGAGACGTGCACACTCTTTGTTGTGTTCAGGGAAGTTATAAACCTTTGAGTATCTGTAAGTAGTACTATAAGTCATTATGGTTGAGAAACAGTCAGCCATCAAAATGAGGTGTAAAGTAATCAGTAAAACCAGTGTTTGAATAGTGGATCTTTCACTTGGTTTTGTGTAAAACACATGATTATAATTCACTTTATATTTCTAGTCACAGAAGCAAAGAGGGGAGTACGGAGCTATGTGTGATTCCATTCTGTTTGATTTTGTTCTCATTTGTTCCCCTCAGTTCTTTATAATGGATGCACTTTCTTCTTGTTGACATAATACATTAAGACCATGTTGAATTTAGAATGTCTTTATGAATGCAGTTAAAGCCTAGGGCTGCCAATTTTGCTAGTTAGATAATAACACAGCAACAAAAAACTTATAGGAAGCAACACATCAATCAGAGAATAAGTATATTTTAAAAATGTTTATGTTTTAGAATCCAAACCCACTATTAGACCTGCTGGTTCTGACAGAGTCACAAACACGAGAAGAGGCAGATCACATCCGGACTGCAGTCAGACAGCAACTCCAGAAAGAACTGATCGCTCTTCTCAATTCCTTGTTGCTGGTTTTCATCACAGTCACGGACAGGTACCATTGGTGTTGTTTGTCATTTGGATATCTGTAAAGCATACTTTTCTTTGATTTCCAAGATTTCTTCATTCTTTCTTGACTTCTTAGTTCTTTAAGAGGTAAAGGCTATTCACCAGATAGGCTCAATCTGTTTGTTTCCGGTACAGCCTGGTTGTAATTTTTTGATCGTCTCTTAATATACTAGACTTTGGTCCTTTGTCAGGAGTAAGTTGGTATAGCTGTTTTGGCGCTTTTTTTTTTTTTTTTTTTTTTAACAGCTTCTATTCCATTGGCCCACACATCTGTTTTTAAGACAGTACCATGCTGTTTTTTTGTTTAGTTTTTTTTCTTTTGGAACTATGAAGAGCTGGAAGTCAGTTACTATGTCACTATACTTTTTTAAAGAATTGCTTTATTTTTGTTTTGGAGTATTTTATGTTTACATATGAATTTTAGGAGATTTTTATTTATATCTGTGAAGAGTGTCATTTCAATTTTGATGGAGATTACTATTTCTTCTTTCATCAGAATTTTTTTAAAAAAAAATACATTATTGGCTGGGTAGTGGTTGCACACACCTTTAATCTCAACACTCAGGAGGCAGAGGCGAGTAAATCTCTGATTTTGAGGCCGGCCTGGTTTAGAGAGTAAATTCCCAGACAGCCAGGGCTACACAGAGAAACCTTGTCTTGGAAAACCAAGATAAATAAGTAAATAAATAAAACATACATTATTTATTATTTTTTAGAACTTTTTCCTCTATCCATTTATTGATTGCTTTGTGGCTGAGTTATCCGCTGAAGCGTCTCACTTCCCTGGCTTTCTTTTTGAGCTTTCAATCTGATGCACATTTTACGCAAGTTCTTACCCATTTTTATCAGATAGCAACAACAATTCCTAAATGTATTTCTTTTTCTAAATGAATCTTCAAAATATATTTATTCTTTTATTTTATTTTATTTTATTTTATTTTATTCATTAGGTGTGCAGTGATCTGCCTGCATGTATGTCTGCAGGCCAGAAGGCGGCATTAGATCTCATTATAGATGTTGTGAGCCACTATGTGGGTGCTGGGAATTGAACTCAGGATCTCTGGAAGAACAGTCAGTGCTCTTAACCTCTGAGCCATCTCTCCAGCCCCTTATTCTTTTTTAAAATGCAGTGGGATACGTTTATGCTGAGAAGTATCTCCATAAAGGCAGTTGAAGGAAGCAGAGCAAGCGTGAATGAAGAATGCAGTCACACCACACAGGCCTAAATGTCCGCATGCACTCCTTAGAGTCAGAGTTACCACATAAGAAGGTGTTGTCAGCTTAAGAAAAGGAGCAAATAGATATATAGTCACAAAGGCACACTAATCCTTATTTTGTTTAACTAGCGAACAGTACTACAGAGACATTGATAAGTTCCAAAATAGCACATGTTAGATTTAGTTGGCAAAGTGCACATCTACCATAAAGTATGAATTTACTCCTCCATGCAGAAACCAGTTACATTAAACTCTTATCTTATGTGAAAATATCAGTTTAAGTGTACGATGGGTCTTTAATACAAAATTGTCTATGAGAACACATCATTTTCTACTATATTCCTTTTTTCTTCATGTTAAAGTTATTAGTTATGCTATTGGGTTTAACTGTGATAGCAATAAAAAGCAGCTAGGAAAAAGGAAAGTATGTGTGTATGAATACACAAAGTATGAATACACACACACACACACACACATATATATATATATGGTGATTTTAAAGGTGAAATAAGCACAATCATGTTTTAGGAAGATGAAATAAAAATTCCTCAAGGCAAACTTGGTTCTCATTGGAGAAAATCAGTGGCTGTTATATTGCTAATGCCTGGGGTAGTCATCTGGGTACCGCTCAGCTTTGTGGTTATGTGGGAGGGAAGAGGAGGAGGGAGAGAAGGAAGTTTGAATGCTAAAACAAGGTAGGAACATTTTAAATAGTATTAGATTGGTTGTGGTTAACCTTGTAAGGAAGTGAACTTACTTAAGTAACTTTTGGCTTTAATGTAAGTTTTTGTGCTTCTAAAATGCTTTAACAGTCCACCATTGAGACATACGGAAAATAATGATCTTAGAGGAAATACATCTGGTGGAGTAGATAATGATGCAGTCAAAGTTGTCAGTTTTAGAGTCTTATAATTAGTAGGATTGAAAAAATTTCAGGCTTTATTTAGTAGTTTGTTATATAAAGTTTTTTTTTTTTTAATCTAAGAATTATATTTCTGAATCCATGCCTAGGCACTTAATTTTAGGAATTTGTTTTTTAATAGAAAATGTTCTATTTATGTCAGTTTTGATTATATGTTTCTATTTTTATGGAAAAAGGTGAATTTTAATTAAATGAAAACACTTTTATGACAGTGATTTTAGTATAGTATTAATATATGCAAATTAAATTCACTTGAAAAAAAATTTTTTTTTGGTTTTTCGAGACAGGGTTTCTCTGTGTAGCTCTGGCTGTCCTGGAACTCACTCTTGTAGGCCAGACTGGCCTCAAACTCACTGAGATCCGCCTGCCTCTGCCTCCCAAGTGCTGAGATTAAGGGCGTGCGACACCACCGCCCAGCAAAATTGTGTTTTTTTAATTTTGGCTTTCTGCCTCACTAGGGTGGCAATGCTAATATCCACTTACATATTATTTTCAGTGTACTTGTTACTTATATTTCTTGTGACTTACCTTTGTTGATATTTTTTCTATGGGTCCCTTGAAAAACTTATTTTCAGAAGGAATATTTTCTACCATCTTGTCTAATTCATACATTTCTAATGTAATGCACCATCATGTAGAGGACCAGCCCCCATACTTACTTACCCCAGGAACTCTTGAGGAATGAGGGATAAAAGACTTAGAAATAAAGAGGGAGAGAAACAGAGAGAAAATATCGGTAGACTCGGGTAGGTCTGGATCCTTATCCACCGTCCCAGAACGGTATTCCAAAGGTCTGTTTATAACAATGCCAAGGGGTAGAGCAAAAGACCTCCCTCTTACTAGTTACAGTCACCTGGTACCCAGGCTCGGGGTCCAGTCAAGCTCCCATGCAGTTCTGCTGGGTACAGCCACTAAGAAACCTAGTGGGCTACAACACCATCAGAAACCTCCTCAGGAGCTAAGACTGTGTGGTTTTCCTCTTTTTTCTATGAACAGGAAATGCTTGGAACTTTTTTATGTCTTCCAAACTCAGCTGTCTCTGAAGCTGCTCCAGTGCCTCAGAGTCACAGATGCTCCTCATTTCTATGGCTTGCCTGCCTTGGAGCGGACCTTAGGAGCGATGGCTCACCTCACTGCTTTCCCTGGGTGGAGTGCACACTCTCCTATCTCAAAACCACTTGAGATTTGTGGGAAATACTTGTCGGGTCTCCTGGAGGTAAGTTAGAATGACAACTCTAACACCTAGATACTGTTTATTGATTTTTTTTTTTATTTCCGTGCCAGGAACAAATGCAGTATATATTGTTATATTTAAGGTAGATTATAGTACAGTATATGCATAACTTACAATGGTGAAATGTTCTAATTTTTAAACACACATAACCATACATGCATACTTTCGTCTTGAAGACAAACTGAGGCTTATCCTAAGTATCTTTATAGAAGTGATTTGTTTTTTCACTTCATTTGCCTGCTAAAGTTTTATTTCCACTTCTCTGGGCGTTGGGGCAGGGTCATGCATGCCACAGCACAGGTGTGATGATCAGAGAATGTATAGCTGTCCTTTCTCTCCTTGTTCCATGTGAGCCATGAGGTTAAACTTGGTTCACCAAGCTAGGTAACTGCTGAGCCATCTCACCAGCCCTGTGCAAACTTTTAAATTGTGAAATATAATACATGTCCAGAAAATAATTAAATTCCATAATTAAACCCCACAAGATTGCCCTCAGATCTCCAAATAGAACCTAGCTGGCAACTCTGGCAACATCAAACATGTTCCTTTTGGTAACCTTCCCCAAAGGATCTTGATTGCTTGGTGCCCTTTTCCTTTTCTTTCTCATTCTTGATAGTTTTACTGCTTATCTTGTGTAGGTATACAAAATGTTTTCTGAATTTTTTTAAATGTGCAAATGGAATCATTTGCGTAGATCGGTTTCATTCAAAAATATCCTTAGAATATTTATTCATTTTGTTGCTTATAGGTGGAGTTTAATTTTTTTTTTTAGTAATCTACATACTGCCACAGTGAATTACATTTAGTGTTCTGGAGGGGCCCCAAAACAGTTTGACCACTCAACTGCCATGACAGGCTCAGGGGCCCAGACACAGCTTCCTTGACAGGCTTACTGGCAGGCAACACCCAGATCCAGGAAAAGCCTTAAGCTGACACCACCCAGGGATCCACCCAGGGATGGGGAAGTACCTGACATCCCAAACATTCCAACCATTAGATAAGGTGGCCAGATGTCCTTGAGCCTAGTACCAAGATACCCCTCCCACCCTGCCTGGGCTCAGGGCTCTCTGCTCACTGCTATGTCAGACAGACAGAGGGACCAAGCCCCAGAGCTTGAAATAAAGGCTCTTTGCTTTTACATACAGGATTCGGTCTCCATGGTGGTCTTTTGGGGGTCCCTGAGATCTGGGCATAACAGTGTTTTGATTTTTCTGTTGCTATGAACATTTTTGCCTTTTGGTGAAAATGAGGATATTATACATATTAAAAAAATTTTTTTCATTCATGTTTATGAAAATTTAATCTTTATTTATTGGCTCTACCCATTAACCTTGTTTCCAGTTTCTAAGCAAATGCCTTTAATTCTTCACTTATTGATAGATTTTGTTTATGAAATCATTCAGGCCTGGAATATTCTATTTGGGAAGATTATGTTATGAGTTGCGTTTTTAGTAGATCTATAATTAGACTATTTTTTTGTTTGTCTTATGTTATATTTTTCCAGAATTAAAAATTTTCTTTATCTGTATTTTCAAAACCATTATCTAAAAATTATTCATCTCTTAAATGTCTACTGCAACTATAGTTCTTGCTATCCATACATAAATTATCCTTTCTCCGTTTTTCTTTCATTATCTCACCGGTGATAACGTGTTTTTAGTGTTATAGAGGAATGACCCACCATCTCCTTGGTTCCTCTTTGTAGTGCTTTCCCTATTGATTTTATACACTTACAAAAAGTGTCGACTTACCAGTGCTTTTAGGTATGGTCTTACTTCATTAATTTCTGCCCCTCCCCCCAGCTTTTCTTAAATAAGTTTTTTGTTTCAGTAGATTAGAAGCATAGCCTTAATTATATTCCACAATCATCATTTGGCTCAAAGTATTTCAAGTATGATGTAATTAATTTAATGAGGATATGGTTGTGCAAGGTTTTCAGAGAACAGTGTTGCTGTGGGTACTGGCAACCTTGCATGCCCAGCTGATGGAAGTCTTAGCAGAATTTTCTGAGATTGTTCTGGAATTTGAAAGCCTAGGTGAAATTTGAACCTAATTAGTCTTATAAATAAAAACAAGAGTGAAATATCGGAGTAATAACCTGAAAGATGGAGAAGCAGAGGAGCAACCACCAGTGACTTCTTGCCTCTTAGATCCTCAGACCTAGAAAGGGCTGAGATCCGCCCCACCTTATCATTTCCTCTCTCCAGCTCCCTAGTGCTGGGATTAAAGGTGGTGAGCCAGCACCGCCCAGCTTCTACAGTTTACTAGTGGCCTTCTGATCTCCAGGCAAGCTTTATTTGTCAGAACATAAACAAAGTATCCCACAACTCCAGGCAAGCTTTATTTGTTAGAACACAAACAAAATATCCCACAACACCCAGGAGTCTCCAGAGCTCTAACTGACAGGAGGTTGATTCTCATGCATTTTCACTATTAGAAGCTGGCTATGAACTTCTAACCTTAATGTTGTTTTTAATAGATATATTTTATTTTATATTTATGATTTCAATTTTTTTTTATCTTTAGGATTTTATACAATGTATTTTGATTTTGTTTGCCCTGTCCCCAAATTTCTTCCTTCTCCTTCTCTACCTATCCAACTTTTTGCCCTCCTTTTATTTTTGAAACTGATGTGCTAAAAGCCCACATCCATGTTAAGAATTTTGATAATCTTACATTTTGAGTGTTTTTCTGTTTTCTTTCTTTTTTTTGCACTTTGAATTTTCTGTTATATTTGGCTGCTCACTCAGAGCTTTTCAGCAAAGACTATTTGGCAGTTTCCATCTTTTATGGATAGCAGTTAGTACATAGAATTTAAGTTTAACTTGCTTCATTCCTTTAATAAGCCTTTTTTCTTTCTCATGGCTTTGTTATAAATATTGTTTGCTGGTCTGTAGATGACCATTTACCTATAGAAACTTACATATGTCAATATTATTCAATACATAATCTATTAAATACATCATATTTTCTTTGTTTTACGTATTTCATTGTTAGCTTGTGAGACTTGTCCTTGGACCATTTCCACTCCTCAGTGGCTATTTGAATGCTTAGGACAATGATTGTTATCTACAGTTTGTTATTCTCTAAAATTATGTTCTGTTTTTTAAAAAACAGACTTGGAAGTGCTAAGTTTTTTCAGAAATACTATAAAATTCAGTACAAATTTTACTATAGCCTCCTTAATAAAATACAGTTTTTCTTAATTATATACATCAAAAGAGATATAATGTAAGCTTTCTCATTAATTATTCCATGCTATAAGGTGTTTGTGATCAGAAGTATATGATTATTTTACACAGGTATATTACCTAAAGAATTGATTATAATACTTTTTTGAAAGTTAGCTTTACTCGTGGTAAACTTAACCTGCAGGTACCTAATTTGCACTATTAATTAAAGTATGGTTTTTAATTAAAACCATATGTAATTTTTATGGTATATATCTTCTTTTATTTATTTTTAATTACATTTATACATGTGTGTGCATGTTCGTGTGTAGAAGTGCAGAGAGAGTTCAGATCCTCTGGAGTTACAGGAGCTGCCTGATGTTGACCACAGGTGCTGGAAGTCGACCACGGAGATCTCTCTCCAGCACCGCTGTGCATCTCTTTAAAACAAACCTATAATTTTTTTTTTTTTTCGGATCAGGGCTATGTAAGGAATTACAGTTTGAAGAGAAGCTCAACGTTCCCTTTATATTTGGAAACTGTCAAATGTACTTTTGTCTTTAAGATTATGTAAGAAAGATTTCTGATCACAGGTCTCCTTCAAATTCTAGAAATCAAAATTAGCTATTCATGATATTGATGAATAAAGTATTTAATTCTAAGTAACAAATCCAGTCAGAAGACAATAACTTCATTCTGAGTTCAATATCTTGAGATAATGAACATTAGCAGAGTGTCTGAACCAAGAAATAGATAAAAATATTCCCTATTTTCTAATGTTTCATAGTTATGAAAAATTTGACTAATAAGTCCTGATTTGGAATAAACAGGTGTTTGTTTAATGCTCAATTGAAAATAAGGAGGAAAACATGTATGTCTTTATATTCCCTGATAGGAAGTTAATGTCAAGAAGTCACTTTTGTTAGAAATTATAGATGAGTTACATTTATTCTAGGACCTTCTGCTTAGTTAATCAGGTGAATGGGTCCCATTATCATATACTGTCTAAACTCTCATTATTAAGGAGAAAGTAAAGCTTATGTGAGTAGACATAGCAAGACTCGTTGTTGGTCCTGCTGATTTGATTAATGGTTCCTCTGTAACTGAAGCCAATTTCTTTTGAGAGATCCATGCTCCCAGTATCAAGCCTTACTGTTTCTATAGAGCAGATCTGTTATTTGCCTTTTACATATATATGTTACATATTTGTAATGTATGTTATACATGTGATTTCCTTTGCTGCATGAGTTGAAGAAACAACAACAACAACAAAAATTCAAACCCAAACAAAACAAAAAACCCTGAAGGAATCCCAGGAGGTGATGTGGGAAGGTCCATGTAGAGGTTTATCATGAACAGAGCAGTGAGGCCTTAACCAGCATTTGCAGTTGTGTTGGTGCCAGAATTTACAGCAGAATTTTCCTTCAAATGTGTGGGGCCTAAGTACAGCATCCTTTGAAAAAATATTAAGTAGGAACTAGAAATATTTTTTGTCTGACTGAATTTTTAAATTTTAAGTTGATAATCTATAAAGAGTTACTTTTTATTATCTCTTCACAGTGAGTTACCAAGCCCCTGTGTGGGGATCAATGTGTGATCCATACAGAAATGCTCCAAAACAATTGCCACATAATTGAGAGAGTTTTCTAATCAGGAATCAAGACTTTCCTAATGTAGTTGCTTAGTTAAGAGTATCTCTTCACAAGAGAAATACTACTGTGTTGTTCCTGTTGGAGAAGTGTCAGAGCTCACTGATGTGTGGGAAAGAAACAAAATGAGGACAAGTTTTTAAATAATAAGCGTATTCTCAAATGAGCAATAGAAATCTAAGATCACTCAGAAGTAAAGAAAATTTCTATTTGCATTTAACAAAGTTTAGCATAACCCTGGTAGTGAGTTTTGTAGAGCTAGTAATTTTGCATATACTTTTCAACTATACTTTAAAAATTTCTTTTAAATACTGCAGCACTTAAAATATTATATTCATGTTATAAATCTGAAAATTTTTCTAGGAAGGTACTAAATAAACAATCTTTGAAGCAATCCCAAAGTTGAAAACATTTAAAAACATTTTTTAACTATGGTAAAATTTACCACTCTAGTCACTGTTAAATGAATTAATAGGACTGTTATAAGTTTATGTTGCTGATGTTTGATTAGCTAAGTTAGGAGAAAGATGCTTATTGTTATGTACACTTAAGAGGAAAACCACCGTAAAATTTCATATGTTTGCTTTCTAGGTCATTACTTCGTTTTATGTGGAACGTGGAGGAAATGCTATGTCCTTCATGGGCAAAGGTGTTACGAAGAGCACAGTTCTTTGCTTACTTCACTTATCCCATGAGATGATGGCCCAGGCACCAAGCTTGGTAAGAAGAGCACAAGCTGCCATTATCTGAACTGTTGCTTGAAGAGGAATGTGCTGTGTCTAATACATTTCAATCCTATGAGCTTGCTACATGTTATTTTTGACTTGTTAATAAGACAAGAAGAGTTATTTGGAGGTGGGTGCTGGAGAGATGACTCAGTGGTGAAGAGTGCTTGCTGCCTTTCCAGAGGACCTGAGTTTGGTTCTCAGCACCCACATTGAGTGACTCACAATCGCCTATATCTCCAGCTCCAAGGGATCGATACAAAGCTGTTCTCTAACCTGTGCAGGCAACTGCACACATATGTGACACACACACAAAACATAAACAAAAGTAAAATCTTCAAGACAATAATTATTTGGGGTTACAACATTTCTTGGAAGTTATTGGTGTCTGAATTTATTTAAAAATTTATTTTGGTAGAAATCATTAACTAGAAAATGACATTGTTTGGCTAAATAAATCATGGGAGAAAAGCCTCTGTTGAAAGGGAAGCAAATATTTTTTATTTGCCTTATTTTGGCTAAAAATACATTCTTACTTTTTGGTCTTTAAAAATTTAGTTATTTTAAGTTCTCTAAACTTACTTGAAGTACTCTGTCCTTGGTTTTCATTCTAGGATTGGATGCCACTTTGGTTTTTGCCTTTGGGTAGTCACAGTGAAGAACATGCTCCTACTCACCAAGGGTTGGCCTGGCTAATTCCCTTATGGGTTGATCGAGACCCGGAGGTCAGTATAGAGGAATACCAAGTTTGTCACGTCTAGATTGAAAAACAACTGAAACAAAACAGATATACTTATGTAATATTGTGGGTTGTTGTAATTGATACAGCTTATGTTTTATTTAGCCTCTGTCTTCCCTCAGGCTGCCATAATGAAACACTGTTGACTGGGTTATTGCAGTAAGAGAACTTCTTGCCTTACAGTTTTGTTGGCTGAAAGTTCCAGCATAGTCATGCTCTGGAGAGAGCTCTCATTTTCACTGCCATGTATATACCTGTCTTTCTGCAGAATGTCCACAGGCTTTTCACTGTATATGTGTTAGGAAGTCACTAGTCTGGTTGGGGGTAGGACCTCATTGTTAAGAGTTCATTTCATTTTAACTATCTTGAGGAAGCCCTATTTCTAAAAGGTCACATTGGAAATGAAAGCTTCCACTGAGATTTGGGGGGTAATTTTTCAACTTAGCTTTCCATCTCTCTTTCATTAAAACCCACTTCCTTATCTTTCAGGTAAATACATTAATTTCTGTAAATAGATAAAAGACAAAACACGCCCCCCCCCCAACAAAAACAATCTTAACTCACTGCAATATCAATTTTAAACTCTGAAGTCCAAAGTCTTGTGTGAGTATTATCTAAATCAAGAATAGATGAGAATTCATATATTTCATCCTGAGGAAAGAATTTGTTCTTAACTCAATTAGGGGCTGTGAAGCACAGAAATTGTATCTACTGGATGGTGGAATAATCATAGGGTCCTAGTCCCAAAGTGGGAAGTAGGAGTGGAAGACATGAGGTTGCAAAGCAAGTGTACGTGCTGGGGAAGCAAATTCCATTCGTCCTTACAGCACAAGCTCTTGTTTTATACTGTGGATCACAGGCCCAGCTGGAGGAATAGTCTCAGCTCTAGCTTCCTACTACTCAGTGGGTAGCCTGACCTCTTCAGGCTGTCTCTCTGGACTCCAGCTGTGCTGTTGTGGCTAAGGATAGCATCACCATCCCTGAAGGACTGTACTGGGCCATCCTGGCCCAGTGGAATTAGAAAGGCAGCCATAGCATTAGAAACTGAGGCGAGAACAGTGCTGCCTCCAAGCCTGAGGTAGGAGCGGCTGACCTGAAGATCTCTGAATTACATTTGGTGTAGCTGGAGCTATCTCCAGTCCTGCTCGGGCCCAAGTCTCTCAGACCAAGTAAACACACAGAGACTTATATTACTTATAAACTATATGGCTGTGGCAGGCTTCTTGCTATCTCATTCTTATATCTTAAATTAACCCTTTTCTATTAATCTATAAGTTGCCACGTGGCTTGTGCCTTACCAGTACTTTACATCTTACTTCTCATGGCAACGGCTGGCAGCGTCTCCTGACTCAGCCTTCCACTTCCCAGAATTCTCCTCTCTGCTTGTCCTGCCTATACTATACTTGCTGCCTGGCTACTGGCCAATCAGCATTTTATTTATCAACCAAATCAGAGGAACACATTCACAGCATACAGAGCGATTGGTATCCACAGCAATTTGGGGCCATTATTCTCTTTGAAGAATGATGACACATATTGCCTGTAGAATCCAAGCCCTACAATCTTCCAGTTTTTCCAGTTCACTTTCCCATTCCCTGCCATTCACATTGGCTCTGTCTTTGCTAATCCAGTCTCCTCTCCATTCTGGCTCCTGCTAAAATGTCTGAAGACTCATAATCTCGTCATGGAACAGTATTTAGCCATACCTCTGTGGTCTTTCTAGAGCACGAGTTCTCATTTTGTACATAGTTAGCTGAGAATCTTCTTAATTGCCTATAATTGTTCTTTTTTAATATGTATTGTTAATTCCTTACTCAAATCATGTTTCCTTTGCATTTTGCTATAAACACTCAGAAGGAATTAATACACTCAGCACTTGGTTTAGAAATATTTTCAGCTATGTGTACAGTTTCATTGCTCACAAAACACTTAACACTTGAACACAGTTGGATCACTTTTAATTTTATTTGTGTAAAGCAGCTTTACATTACTATAACAAATGCCAGAGTAAAACGACTTAAAAAGAAAGTCAAGGTGTACTTTGGCTCGGTTTTGAAAGTTTCAGTCCATGGACAGTCAGACTCATTGCTTTGGATCCTATAGCAGTGTCTGTGGGAGCTCATGGAGTAGCACAGCTGCTCCCCTTTTCGCAGCTGGGCAGCAGAGAGAGAAAAAGTGGAAGTGCCAGGCATTCAATATTTATTTTTGGGGGGCTTGCCATAATATGATTAGAAGACTTCTAACTGCCCCATCTTTAAACAGTTCTGTTTCCTGCCAGTGGTTCCTTGGACTGGGGACCATACATTGACCCACAAGGTTTTGATGGTTACTTGTCCAAATCAAAGCACCATCTTTTAAGGACCACCTTTATTCCATACCATGTTTCTAGTAACATGTTCTTATTTCTTTCTGATATTACACCATAGTTACCCTTGTAATTGATCTTCCTGGTATGAACTTCCAGTCTTTTAGACTCTAACCTGTTGTGTAGTTCAGAAGTCATTTCTATGTTTTTAAGTATTTGTTTCAGTATAGCTCCTCTTGTTGGTAAAAAATAATCTGTATTAATGTTCTCAGGCTGCTATAATAAATACCACAGAATGATTGCTTTAAAAATCAGCAATGTCTTTTCTCATGTTTTTGGATGTGAGCAGTCCAAGGTCCACAATTGGCTTCTTGGGAAGCTCCCTTCCCACTGCATGGATGGCTGCATTATTATTATGTGTTCATTTTTCCTTTTCTTGTTACAGGCACATGGAAGAAGACATCTTATCTCTTTCTTTTAAGGCAGCTATCCCATTTTATTTTAAAAGCGTAGTAATACTTAAGTGCCATTTTAGTACAAAATTCATATTATAACTAGTTTTAGCCATTTGTTCAGTGATATTGAGTAAGAAATGGTGGATCTTATTAAAAACCTTGATTTGTAGGAGTGTTATTTGATCTAAACTTGGTACAATTTTGGGAACTTTGCACTTAGACTTATTACTTGGCTATTTTATGACTATGTTATTTTTATTCTGTTTGTCACTGAAAATGTATTTTTGGGTCAAAATTCAGAAATGCACCAAATTATTTAGATAGCAGTTATGTTACGGCCATCATTACTGTACCAAATTAAGTTTCTATGAAATATTTTTTTCTTTAACTTTTGAGAAAATACTACATGTTCTATAGAGAAATGTAATTCAGCTATATAATTTTGAAATAATGTGTTAAAAAGTTAAAGCTATTTACTTGAAAGAGATATTAATGACTTAATAAAAATAGAACAAATTAATGGGGTTTTTTATGAATGAGGAATAAATAGAAATCATGTTCAGTAAATATGACCAAGTGTCCTGACTGCTTTTCCTTAAAAAAAATTGTAAATTATAATTACTTTAATGCTTACTTATAGTATTTAGTTTACCCTCATGTGACAATTGACTATAGTCTATACTTTTTTTTCAGGTCACTGATTTTTTTTTTCCAACCTTGATACAGAATTTCTGTAAAGCCAATTCATACACATGTAGGGCACACCTTCTGAGTGTCTTTAGAATGCAGGAATGTAAAGCCAATGCTGTATTCACACACATGTAATACACTGTTTCTGTGTGTCCTTTAATATGTAGGAATGTAGAGCCAATGCCATACTCACAGACATGTAGAACATCTTTTCTGAATGTCCTTTACAGCATAGGGATATAAAACCAATGTCATATTCACTCAGTTCTAACACTTCTTTTGTACTAGAAGGATGCTCATGCTAAGAAAGAGTATCCTTGAATTTGATTTCTCTGTCTTTACATGACAGGTGAGATTCACTTCACTGGGATTGGGATCAGCACTGACTACTATTGAAGCTGGCTGTGTGGCCTTGGCAAACAGTTGTCAGAATATTTCTGGTGGACTCTGGGGAACCGTGGTGAACATTCTTCTGGATCAGTCAGAATGCAGTGTGGTGCGCCGGGAGGTATGTCTGTGTGAGCAGCTTACTCCCACCCTGTAGTCGGAAGTTTTACTGTGTCCTGCCGGCCTGCAGCCACTTGGACAACACACAGAGGCTTATATTACTTACAAACTACATGGAATTTCTCGCTGGCTAACTCTTATATCTTAAATTAACCCATTTCTGTTAATCTATGTTTTGCCACGTGTTCTGTGGCTTACCAGTCTGCTGGCACATTGTTCCTCTCATGGCAGCTGCCGTCTCTCTCTGCCTTCTTCCTGCTTGGATTTCCCGCCATAGGCCAATGCAGCTTTATTTATCAACCAATCAGAGCAACACATATTCACGCATACAGAAAGACATCCACAGCACACCCGCTTGGTGTCACGGGAGTCTATTGCAGTGTCTATAAGCCTCACTTGACTTCTTGTTTATCAGGGAGGACTGAGCAAAAACCATTATTTATTTTGCTTACAAAAAATTTAAATGAAAAGTTGCTAATTTATAGTAAAAATGCAAATCATTTATTCTGATAAAATTAAGGCAGAATGTTTCAAACTTTTGCATTAAATATTATTTTGTGTGTATATATATATATATATATATATATATATATATATATATACACACATATGCTTGTGCATTCACATGCTCTGCTGTGGAGGTCAGAGGACAACTTACCAGAGGCCAGTCCTCTCCTTCCGTCATGTGGGTTCTGGGGGTAGAATTCAGTGTTGACAGCAAGTGCTTTTACCAGATGAGCCATCTTGCTGATATATTTTAATGTGAACTTTTATATCACACACTGAAAAGTAATTCACAGAAAACAGTTGTTTTACTCAGTACATATAAGTATTAGTGTTTATAAACCTTTAATAATAATATTTTCAAAACAGCATTTCACAATATATGTCAATAATATTTGAGAGAAAAAATAAACCAATTTAATTCGTGTTTTAAAAATTATTTACTTACTTATGTCATTTATTTGTGCATGTGTGTGCCTGTGAAGGCCAGAGGACAATCTCCAGAGTCAGTTCTCTTGTGGGTTCTAAGGATCAAACCCATTCTACTACAGCTGCCTCTACCCATTGAGCCGTCTTGCCATCTCCAATTGGTGGTTTCTGTCAAAATGATGATTCATACTAGTAGCTTTAAAAAGGACAAGCAAATAGTTCTCAATGGTTTCTGAAGAAAACAGCAGTTCCTGGCCCACCACTAACCAATACTTAGTAGCTAATGTATAAAGCCAGTTTTCTTATTAGTCTGTCATAATTTCAAGTGATTATTCTTACATTTATGGATTTTTTTTGCTTCATTAATTTTAAACTTTTAAAACTGACTTCCAGTGAAGATGGATGTAAGTTTTACTCTTAGAATTCCCCAAATTCTTGTTATTCTCTGAGTAGAATTGTACCATAATTTTCATTAAATGAAAATCAGTTCTTATATTTGTACGATTATTTTATTCTGTCACCATGTATTCTGATAGGTAAAGCTGGACATTTGTGCTTTAAGAAGACTTTATATGAGAAAGGAGGAGATTGAGGAGGGAGAGGACAAATGTTTGCTATCTGTATGTAACCCTACAAAGGCATGTTAAAGAAATTGTGTGTTTTTTAAATGCTTTTAGAATGTTTTATACTAATAATTTTTTTGTACAAAACTAAATTTTGAAATAGTAAAAAATGCACTTTCTAATGAAATGTTCCATAGTTTGCTCATCATCTAATTTGCTCATCAGCTAATAAGAAATGCGATTATGAGATCTTATGAGGATCTTTCAGCATGTATAACTGACCAGCTACAACCTCTGTTATTTCAGAGATGACAACAAGATGGCAGCATTGACATTTGTGTTTTTAATTTTCAGGCTGCATTTATTCTTCAGAATCTCCTTGTAGTTCCGATGCCTTCAGAAGTTATAAAGAATTATACTTGGCAGGTGGGTATAAACAGTTATCAACCTAGCAAATATTTTATATTAATTAGTTTTAAATTTTCAGCATATGTATGCAGCTATCCATTTGTGTCTGTGTGTTTCATGTTTGTGGACTGAAGCAACTAGGAGTCAAAAATATTCAAGAAAAAGTAATTGTACTGAACAATTATAGTCTTTTTTCTCTAATCATTCTCCTTAAACAGTATTGCATGACAACCACATACAATAGCAATCAGGCATTGTGACTTAGAGAGCTTTTAGATTACACACAGGATATGCATAGATAATATATAAATGCTACCCTGTTTATATAAGGAATTTCTCTGTCTACAGACTTTGGTATTTGTGAGAGTCGAAGAATCAGTCAGTTGTTGATACCAAGGAACGGCTAAACTTTATGACTTAAAAAACTGTGTGTATGGTAGCAAGTACTTCTTAACTAGAAGGTAGAAATTGTCTGATTCTTTTTCACATTTACACATTCTCCTGAGCTAGTGAAATGGCCAGGAAAGGGGGAAGAGGAGAACTGGTTCTGTAAAGTTGTCATCTGACCTCCACACACATGCTGTGCTACACGTATAACCCCACCACACACACTGGATTTACTTATTTTACATTTACTTATTTGATGTATGTGACTGTTTTGCCTTCATGAATGTGTCAGAACCACATGCATGCCTGGTACCCACAGAGGTAAGAGGAGGTGACCGATCCCTTGGAACTGGAGTTACAGATGGTTATGAGCCACCATGCAGGTGCAGTCAATTGAACCCTGTTCTTTAAGAGTGAAAAGTGCTCTTAATCACTGAACTATCTCTCCAGCCTCCAATAAAACATTTTATTTCTACCATCTATCTATCTATCTATCTATCTATCTATCTATCTATCTATCTATCTATCTATCTATCTGTCTGTCTGTCTGTCTGTCTGTCTGTCTTCCTGCCTGCCTGCCTGCTTGCCTGCCTATCTATCTATCTGGAGTCAAGGCCTCACCATGTAGCCTCGGCAGGCTTGGAACTCACTATGTAGACCAGATTGAACTCAAACTCAACAGAGATCTGCTGTCCTCTGCCTCCCAGAGCTGGGATTAAAGACATGTGCCACCATAGCCACCCTGATAAACATTAAAAAAAAAATCTAAGAGAAAAATCTCTTTTCCGTAGTGGTTAATACTTTTAGAATTAGTAATGGTTGGCATGACATATGTTAGGTACTTTTCTAGAAGCTTCATGTGTATTCACTAGCTTAATTTTTGGTGCTGTGAACTATTTTTCTTATTGTATAGTTTAGAAGTTTTAGCATAAAGAATTGAAGTAGCTTGATGAAGCCACATACTTAGTTAGTGGTACATCTTTGCTGTGAGTACAGATAGTCTCTTTCTTGTCCACATCATTAAATTGGTTCTATAATTTAATAATAAATAGAATTGGTTGTATTTACAAATGCAAGCACAATGTGGTGAAGTTTATTAGGGCACACATATCTCGCCACACAGTAAATTTCTTTTTCTTTTGCTGAGTTAGTGTACAGTTGGGGATTTGAGTTATCTCTTTTTCTTTATATTGGGCAAGTCACTAAATAGTTAACATTTAAGTCGATAATTTGGAGAATATGAAAATGCTCTCATCGTAAGCATGTGTTTTTTTATCATTTTATCCTCATCCTCATCTTATGATTGTATGCTTATAATAATGTTATATAGTACTTTCCAGGATCCTCTATAAATCTGTTTATTTTTAAGTTTCCATTGGAATATACTAATTGTTGTTGAATCAAGCTGAGCTTCCAAAAGGCGGGCTTAAGTATGTCACCTGAGGCATGATCCAGCTGGCATTAATCTCCCAGGTTGTTTACTTCTTCAGACTTTACAAAGCCAAGTTTGTGGTGCTGGTGCTATAAGTCATCTAATAAGTGTGTGTGTGTGTGTGTGTGTGTGTGTGTGTGTGTGTGTGTGTGTGTGTGCGCACCAGTTTGAGAGGTCGGAAGACAGCTTTGTGTACTTTATTTTCTCCTTCCTCTTTTATGGGTTCCAGGGATGGAACTCGGGTCATCAGGCTTGTACAGCAAGTGCTTTTACCCTCTGAGTCATCTCGCCATCCCCCAAATATAGTTCTAAAGATATTTTTACTAACCAGTATAGTCTTCTCTTCTCTGAAAGACACTAGTATTTTATGTTTTTACTGTTAAATTGGTTTCATATTACTTTTACTGTATTGCCTCATTTCTTACCATTAAACTTTACCTTCTTACATAGAATATTTGTTTCTGAAGGTTAGGGCCATAGTTTATTATTATTTCTTTCTATTTTCTTTTCTTATGGCTCTGGGGATTGAACCCAAGGACTTGCTAATGCTAGGCAGCAAGTACTCTACCACTGATATGTTTTATATTTTGAAAAATGTTCTATCAATTTCCACTGGAGAGTAGATTGGTATTGCCTTATATAAATGAAGTCTTTGTTTTGTATCATAATATCTCACTCGTCTTGTATGGACGCAGAAATATGCTGGGGATGGATTGATCTTAAAGAGTATTATTTTTTATATGTGTTTTAACTAGTCTGTGTTATGGACTATTTTTGTTTTTCAACTTGAGATACCCAGGAAGGGGGAACCTCAGTTGAGGAATTGCCTCCCTCCACATGGCCTGTAAGTGTGTGGGGGTGGGTGGGTGGTGGGTGGGTGGGTGCATTTTCCTGATTGCTAAATTATACAGGAGGGCCTAGCCCATGGTGGGCAGGTGGTTCTGGGTTGTATAAGGAAGTAAGCTGAACAAAATCAGGAATTAAGCCAGCAAGTGATCTCATGGTCTCTGCTTCACTTCCTGCCTTGAGTTTAGTTTCCCTCCAGAATGGACTATATAACCCATAAGCCAAATACATCATTTCGTCCCCAGGTTGGTCTTTTTTTTTTTTTGGCCATGGTGTCTATCACAGAAGCAGAAACCAAATTGTTTACCTGGTATTTTTTTAATTTTTGTGAACTTTTTGAGAATCACAAACATACTGCTGCTATTTCCCTTAACACTGAATGATGAATTTCCTAAAAAGAAGGACATTCTCTTACATGATAATAATCCTCAAGTTTTTCTAGTGTGTTAGGCAGTTCTCCCAAGGATCTTCTGTAAACTTAGTTTATTTTTATATTTTCATCAAATGCATCCTACCAGTTAACTGAATCAAGGAGCTGCTGAAGGGCAGATTTCAGGGTGTTACCTGACACATTACCCTACATCTCCTGGATCATCCCACCTCTTTTCTTTATGGAGAAAGGAAATCCAGTCTTGTTTCAAACTTAGAAATATATTTTTTTCATTTAGTTGTTTTCATTTGAAAGTTTTTCTAATTCTTAATTTTTATAACACATTTGAAGAATACATGTGATCCAGCTTCTGTAATGTCTCTCAGCTATTATTCTTAACTGTTTCCTTATGATTGAATTTGGATTATTCAGTTTTGGCATAAAAGTCATAGAAATGATATACTCAGATTTATTTGTTTTTTTTCTGTTATTTTGGTTATATCAATTGATTACTTGATTATTTCCTGTTTTCTTCATTTTTACTGTTAGGAATATTTTGACACTTTGTCAGTATATTTCTTATCAGACTTCTTTTGCTAATTTTAATTTCCTTGTCTGAAGCAATCATAGGACATTTACTAATGATTTTGTAATTATGTCATTTCTTTCTGTATTTATTACATTCCACTCTAACAAAGAGCTTTCCTTTTCTTTCCTGCTCTTTTTTTGTTCATGTATTTGTTTACTTTTGTGTAGACTCAAGGGCTCTTCGTTTGCTTCACAAATTGCTACCGGTGTTTCTTTATTTAGTTGATCAGATTACTCTACTTTTGGCAAAGAGTGTCCTTGATGATGACTCTTGTGTCCTTTAAACTTGTCTTTAGGAAGCTTTGAACATTACCTTTATTTCTGGTGCAGAAAGGTATTATAGTTCTCTAGCCCCAGCCTAGAATCAGGTGTTTGCCCAAAGGGCTCTGATTACTTTTCAGTAATTGAAGTATGTATGGGGGCTGGAGAGATGGTTCAGTGGTTAAGAACACTTGCTGCTTTTCTGGAGGACTCAGAATCCCAGCTCATACATGACAGCTCACAACCATCTGTAACTTCCATTCCAGGGAATCTGATGTCTTCTGGCCTCTGTAGGCATCAGACATGCATGTGGTGCACAGACGTGTAGGATGGCAAAGCACCCATACACATTAAATTTTTTTTTAAAGGAGTCCTATGTATTCATGTATTAATTTGGGCTTTTCCTTTTCCTTTTTTTTTTTTTTTTTTTTGAGGCTGGTTCTGTAACCCAGGCTGAATTCAAACTCCTATGTAATGAGGATGGCCCTCAGATCTTGCCTTCACCTATCTCGTATGGGATTATAGGCATGCACTATCTACCATCTCCAGTTTGTATGGTACCAGGGTCTTGTGCATGCTAGCCAAACACTGCACCAACCAAGCTGTGTCTCCAACCCTAAGAGTAATATTTAAAAATGAAATCTGGCATCTGGATGGCTCACTGTTCTTGATTTATCTTGCTTCTGTATCCTGTTAGCACATGGAGCTAATAACCCTCTGTGCACACGCTTGTTTATTTGTGCATGTGTTTTTGATAAAGAGAAGCACTTATTACTATCTACTATTAATTGTAAATTAGTCATGTATATGAGTATGTTTCATACTTGCTGTGGTTAATATACATATTTTTCATCTTTTACTGTATACATCATGAAGCACCTTCAATGTTCCATAAAATATTTCTTGGTGAAATCATCTTAATGCTGCTATAATTTATGTGCCCTTATAGATATCTAATGTATTTAGTATCTTTTTTATAGTCTTTGGATTATATTATAGTAATTTCTATGTGTTACCAAACTAATTCCACTTTAAAATTCTTCTTACATATAATTTTTTGCTTCTATTTCCATTTCTATCATATGTAAAAAGTCTATTCACACAGTGACTATATGAGTAAAATATGTGTCTTCCAACTGATATTCTAGTTTATTTCCTTCAGAGCTATGTTTTCAAGTTATTTGGAGAGTTCTAAGATAATTAATCTGCACTTTTTTTTTGCAATTATGTTTATAATTGGCACCTGATAACTTAAGAGTTGCTTTTTCTGGGGTTGGGGATTTAGCTCAGTGGTAGAGCACTTGCCTAGCAAGCACAAGGTTCTGGGTTCAGTCCTCAGCTCCAAAAAAAAAAAAAGAGTTGCTTTTTCTTCATGCACTGCCAGTATAAGTCTCTATTATCCTGGCCCTTGTACCATTTATCCTTAATGGAAAGCCTAAGTCAGACCTTTTGTGCATATGCTTGGCATGGCAACATTGCTGATAATACCCTCACCACTAAGAAGCTTTGCCATTAGAGAATAGGGATTCACCTAATAGCTTAGTTAAAATCAGTCAACTGAAAATAAATGATGATGTCTAATACACATGAATTTCCATTCATTTGATTTTCTTTTGAAGATTTAAAAGTGGTTTTAAGGGGCTGGAGAGCTGGCTCAGCAGTTTAAAGCACTTGTTCCTCTTCCAGAGGACCTGAGTTCACTTCCCAGCACTGGCATTAGGCAGCTTACAATTGCCTAGATCTCTTGTTCCAGGGAATCCAATACTTCCTTCTGGCCTCCGTGGGTACCCACACATACATGACATAATGCATACAGAAACACACATAGAGACACATAAATAAAAATGAATCCTGTAAAATGTTTTTAATGCAGTAATTGTTTACATTTTTAGAAGTGATGATTGTGTCAAGTAACAAATATCCATGTTATAGAAAGCAATAGAATATATAGTGATATTCAGAATATTAATGGTATATGTAATATTCACAGATATTATACTTTTCCCATTCACAGACATGTTTATCTCTGAATTTACTTCTTCAGGAGCCTACCATATGTTTCCAAATTGTAGCTAGAGTTTTCTTGCCTTGCCCACAGCCAGGACAAATCTCTCACCCACCAGTCCCACAGCTGCTCAGACCCAACCAAGTAAACACAGAGACTTATATTGCTTACAAACTGTATGGCCGTGGCAGGCTTCTTGCTAACTGTTCTTATATCTTAAATTAATCCATTTCTATAAATCTATACCTTGCCATGTGGCTCGTGGCTTACCAGCATCTTCACATGCTGCTTGTCATGGCAGCGGCTGGCAGTGACTCTCTGACCCAGTCTTCCACTTCCCAGAATTCTCCTCTCTGTTAGTCCCGCCTATACTTCCTGCCTGCCCACTGGCAAATCAGTGTTTTATTTATACAGAACGATATCCACAGTACCAAATGATATATTTCCAATATTGTGTTTATTCCTCGGACACTAGCGTGTGTATTTAGTTCCTGTGTGACTCCCTGTAGACACTGTTAACTCTTCTTGTCTGTGACCACCCTTGCTCTTGCTGACTTTGTTGTCTCTTATCCTGTAGGGCCCCATTTACAAGACAGACACTGTATGCCTTAGATGTCATATTAGTGTCCTTACTTCTGATGGTCACCGTTGCCAGTTTTTATTTAAACCTTTGCTTTGTGAGGCTTGATGGTATTTACATTCTTACCTGACTTTTGTCTGCAGATTGATTCTGAACATTGGAAATTACTAATTCACTAGAGACATTAAGTGATTTGTGTTTAAAATTCCTTATCCACCCTTTCCTGGCTGACCCATCTAGTACTCAGTTCCTTATTTATGTGTATAAGTATGCACAGAATTAAAAAAAATAGATTTATGTGACATAACTCTTCTCTTTGGAAGGCCTGTTTGTTTTTCCTGCATTGTAAGTTCGTGTCACAACTCAAAATTTTCTACTCTTAATCTTCTTTCCCCTTTGTTAGAACTTCCTTTCCTGGTAACCATCCCTAAAATGATCATAATCTTATCTACCTTGTGAGTTCTAGCATATTTAAAACTGTCTTTAAAGCTTTACTGGATTGGCTATTCACTGTGTACTAAGTTGAAAACCAATCTTCCTAAGAATTTTACCCCATAGTCTTCCAGCATCTTCTAGCATCCAGGGCTGTTGACACTTTCTTTATCCTTGACCTTTTACTCTTCATTGTCTTTATTCATGATTTTCTAGAACCTTATCTTAATTTTTTTTCACTGAATACTCACTTAGCTCTTTACTTGAAGGCTTGGCTCTTCTATACCTTGTGACTTTTCACAATCTATTTTTTGTATTTATTTTTTTGAATGACTTTCCCTTTTTCTGTGTTATGGTTTTGATCTTAAATGCCCCCAAGGACTGTGTACTAATAGTGTGGTGCTCAGTGGATGACACTATGGAACAGTGGTAGTACTTGAGAGCTGGGGCTTCAGTGTAGGAAGTCTCTGGGGGACATGCCTTTGAGAGGTACATTTATTGTCCATAGTATACTTGCCTTTTCTTGCTCTTCTGATTCCTGGCTGCTTTGAGGTGGTCAGTGCTCAGCTGATGACCATAGTGGCCATGCCCTTTTATGATGTTTCTGCTTAGACACAGACCTAAACTCAATGGAGCTAGCTAACCTAAAGACGAAGCCTCTGAAATCATGAACCAACATGAACTTTTTTCTTCTTTAAACTTGACTTATGTATAGTCAGTTTTGAAAAACTGGTTGACACTGCTATGTTTTATGTTTCCAGAAATGAATCCCATAATGGGCCTCTTGGGTTAATTTTCCCTGACCTCTATGTCATAACTAGATTTACACTGCTTTCTGAGATATTAATTTTTTTGTGGCTATATCTCTACTATGATGTCTTCTGTTATCTTTGTTTTAAAATCTAGCTTATCTTCTTTGAAAGACTAGAAAATCAAAGAGGTTTAAAAATTATTAAATAAAGATAAGTGTAATTTGGTTAGATTATCTTTATACAATTTATATTTCATTACCTGTTCTCAGTAAATATTTATGAATTTAGGACTCTGACTGTGATAGAGAAGACAATTACATAGACACAATTTATAAAATGAATTAAATAATTTTACATGATTAGTATATTGCAAAGTAAAATTAGTCATCACTAGGAAATATAGAAATATAGAAAAATAGAAATTTTATGTTATTTCAGGGATTTTGTTTTATTGACTGAGTTTTGTTAAGTAGCTGAGTGAAGTTGGAGTTAACCTTTGAGAACTGTTTCGTTTGTGTTCCTTTGTTTTTAGTGCCAGGGGTCAAATACAGGGCTTCTTGTATGGCGGGTAAGTGCTTTATTGCTGAGCCGCACCCCCTAACCTGCCTTAACAAAACCATAGTTTTCATTTAGGTTGGTAATTCTTGCTCTGGGTAACAGGATTTGCCTTGTGATGTTTTGGTGTTCACATGTCTCTTGTCTTTATCATGTTGTGTACATTTAAGCATACTATAATTCCCTTAAAACTCTTTGTAGCAGTGACAGTTAAGGTTTACTATTTAATATTTTTGACAGATAGCTCACCCAGGATAGTTTAGTAAAGTCGTGCCTTAAAGGACAACATAGGGATGGTAGAGGCAGAGCTCTCCTAGAGCATGGATGAGGCTCTTGGTTTCATTGACAGGATAATTTGTAAATAAATGAGGAACCACATTGCTTGTAACTGACCTTGATGAGTAAGCATGGCTTCTGACCCCATTCTCTTGTTCTGTTTTACCTGCTTCTTTTAGATGTCTATATTTAAGTTGTTTATTTTTACTGACTCATTGTTTAAGTAGAAACATTTTTAAACCATTACTTGGACCACATTATTTCAGGTATTTATAATAATTGTTTTACTCTTGTGTGTAGGTTTAAAGATACTATTGTGTTTGTGCTTCAAGTGTGAAATTACTTGGATGAGAATGATCATTTCATAGAAGCATTTTAATGAATTGACCCTTTAGGAGGTAGAGTTGATCAACCTTTTGCCAGGGGCCAGTAAAGTGAAGTCCTTTCCATTCTAGTCTAAGTAGGATCTGGGACATCTTTGCCTTAGTGAGCTGCAATGGCTCTTTTTAAAGAAATGGTTTGTTAAATCAGTGCCTTTTCTCTGTCTTCTCCAAGGGCCCTTGTGTCCATGATGAGGATTCTGGCCTGTCACTGGTAGGAAAGCCTGCCCTCCAGGCCCTTTTATATCATTGCCATTTCTATGAGCATTTGACTCAGATGGTGAAACATTGTTATGTAGGAAGATATACATTTGATCTGAACTTTTCTGCTTTTACTGACACTTCAGAATGCAGTGATTTAAATGGTAAGTATAATACCTTTTTTATTATTATTATTATTTGTTTTTACAAAGTATAACTTCTTTTAAATGGTGTTGATGGGCCAGGTAGAAATTAAGTGCTTAAAAGAACACAAGTGAGAGGACTGGGGTTTGGATCTTCAACACCTAAAGACATGCACGGTGTGCAAAGTGGTCTGGAATCCCCAGAGCAAGCTGGCTAGCTAAACTGGTCAGACTGATAAGCTCGGTGTTCATGTGAGAGACCCTGCCTTAATATATAAAATGAAAAAAAGCTATTGTGGAAGACACGTGGCATCAACCTCTGACCTCCTTACTCAAGTGCACACATGTGAACATAGATACAAGCACACATACCACCTACACATGCAAAAACATGACACTGAAACATGTGTCCTTTAGAGAACATTTGAAAAATAATGAAAAGTACACAAGATAAAATTATCTCCAGTCCCCCAGAGAATATTCTTAATATGTTTTATTTCTTACCATTGTTTTCTACCATGTGATGTTTGTTTTATATGCTTTATGTGCATTTTTAGTCCCTGTTTCTCTAAACATTGCCTGAACATTATTCTGTGTTATAAATTCTTCATGGAAGCCATGTTTGGCATCTTATTAATGTTTTATAAGTTATTTTATGCCCTTCAGTAAAGTTTTATAACTTTTTTCCTCTAGTAAAATCTTAAACTCATTTGGAACATTCATTCCTTGAAACTCTACTGATTTTTTCCTCTAATCTTTTTTATGAATGAGATCTTTTGTAATTAAATTTTCTAATTTATTTGGTAAAGGTCTTAAAAATCTTTATTTTTGATATGTCATGAATTTATCAGAATTTTTGCTGAAGTATTTTTACTTCTCTTGGTAGATAATTTTGGATTTTCTAAGTATTATATATTAATACCTAAATACTAAATTAGATCTCATAAAATGAATATCCATTTAACATAAATTGCTTTTAATATTGAAATTAATATGTTTTAGAATCTTAACATAGAAAAGGTTCAATAAAAGTACAAAAGCCCTTAAATATTTGAATTTATTCACTATCTAATGAATGTGTATGTGTATGTACTTATACACAAATTTTTTATGTCTGTATGCAAAAATATAGGTATATAAAGAATAAACTGAAATCATGAAATTACATTACTTTTATTTACTTAAATGTAATTTATAAATTATAATTCACATTTTCATTCACTTTGGGGGAATTGAGAGTAGCATGTAATGAAGCTCTTGAACTTTATAAATAACTGTCACTATTAGAAAAGTAACTTATGGGGCTGGAGAGATGGCTCAGTGGTTAAGGGCACTGACTGCTCTTCCAAAGGTCCTGAGTTCAATTCCCAGCAACCACATGGTGACATGGTGGCTCGCTACCACTTTTAATGAGATCTGGTGCCCTCTTCTGGCCTGCAGGGACACATTCAGGCAGAATAAAAAAAAAAAAAAAAAGAAAAGTAACTTACTCAGTTGTTTCGATTTTATGTATCACCATTACTCCTAACATGGCTCTTGAGCCAATCTGTATTGATGTATTCTGGGTGTTTGTTAGAAATGTGCATTCATTGTTTCACTTTGCTGTAGGGTGTTAGAATTCTTAGGACAAGTGCTGTGGAGGAATTGCAACAACCACCCCTCCTTGAACACAGCAAAAAACCATTCTTCTTTGTTTATGGTTGTTTTCCTTAAGGAGTTGCACTGTTAGTTGTTGGAGAACCTGGGGAGTGTCATGTTAACTGTTCTCTGTTGTCACAGGTTTAGATGACTCATTCAAGTTTTGGAGGGCTCCCTCAGGGACATCCACTCAGGATCATGAGCCAAGCTCTCTTTCCACCTCAGAAACAATGGTAATTGAGAAAGACATAGAAATGCTTCATTTTGAGTCTCTGAATAAGTTTGAATTTGCATAGTAGTAATAAAATATTGTATGTAAGCTTAACGTTACAATTATAATCGCTGTGGTTTTTAAGAAGTGTATTCTGAGAAGACTCCTGCTCTGCATTTACTTAAAATACTCTGTTTAATGTGTTCAGCTATCCATATATACACTCTTATGCTTTCCCACATAACTATGTCATTCTGAAGTTAAGTAACTGTGATAAATAATGCTGTAAGAGACAGGATTGGAATTTTAACTAGGGATTGCCTGATTGTAGTCAGACTACATATATTATTTCAGTTGAGAGGCATCTACTCCTCTTTCTCCCACCTTTTCTGATAGAATCTAGAGTAGAATAGTCAAAAAATATTTTCATTAATAGTAGATGAGACATTTTATATAATTAAAAATCATTAGTTATCTTGAAATTTTTATTAAGGATAAGGCAGAATGAGAAAGTTTACCTGTTCAGATGATCCAATGAAGTACTGATAATTTCAAACATGTCTCTAAATACTTGTATGAGAAACTTTTCTTTAATATCTAGAACATGTGAAGTTTGTGTGTACTTGGGTCTCTTCATTCATTCATATGTGGCTTTCTTCCTAATAACTGACGCTGGTCTTCAGTTTTGTCCAAGCGTACAAAAAGCATTTCTTCTAAATTAAAAAACACATTGATTTTTCAAGCATTTGTTGTTAATGACCGTGTTGTAGAATCTATTAGGGAAGCAAAGGTTTGTTACCTTTGAATTTAGAAGTTCAAATAATAATATGTATATGTGAAAATGTAATTATGTAGACATTGATCAGATTTACCTCCTATATTGTCCCCTTTCCTTTTCCCTCTTTTTATTAGATTCAAAAGAGAGTTGTATTTTATATGGAAATTACCCTGCTCCCACTAGATGTCATACTTTCCAAGCTTAAATGTAAAGATAATAGGTATCTTTAGTTCAGCAAAAGAAATAATATGATTTTAATACCAAAGTGAGTTTTATTAATTGGTTCACAGAAAATCACAGGAAGGGCAGCATCAATACGTGCTTAAAAGTAAGTTTCCTCAAGTGGTCCAGTTTTTACAAGACTATGAAATAGCTATGCTAGTAAACCTTTAGTCACCACGACTAGATGCCTGAGAAAATCTACCACAGGTAGGAAAGCTGTACCGAGGCTAACGGTTTCAGGGATTTAGGCACATGGTTACATGACTTCATTGTTCTAGGCCTGTCTTCAGTGAGGCAGAGCATCATGCAGGGAAGCATGTGGTGGAGCAGAGATGTTCACCTCGTCGTATCTAGAGACAAAAGACAGAGAGGAGGATTGGGGTGCACTGGGGGCAAAGTCTTTAGCACAGGAGCATTGGGAGGAAATTAGACAGTGAGCCCCTAAGATCAGCCCAAAACTCTTCTTTCCTTGTTTATCAGAGCTAATCAATAAATAGTAATTTTTCTGTGTTAACTGTTTTGTGTTATTCAACTTATATTTATCATATGTTAAGAAGAACTTGGTATAGAAAGAAGAATCAAATTTATATTTTTTGGTTTATACCAACATTACAAGTTAAAGCACTAGATTTTTCTGAGAATTACTTTGGAAGAACTTAATTTACTATGATCCTTATTTAAATGGAAGTACCTTTGTGCTCATTAGCTTTGTGTTGATGTTGCAATACACTTGAAATAATCAACTTAAAAGGAATAGAGACTTGTTTTGTTTCCTAGTTTGTGAGGTTTCAATCCACAGTTGCTGTGCACGGTTGCTTTTGGCTGGTAATTGCACAATACATTACAGTGGGAATATGTGCCAGAGGAAGCCTATTTATCTCATGACAGCCTGGATACTGGGAAAGACACAGAAAGTGGTTGTGACTATGATATGCTCTTCAAGGACATGCCCAGTGATCTAAAGTTAATCCACAAGCCCCACCTCCCAAAGGTTCCCCCATCCCTTCCCAGTAGCACTGTGAACTGGCACCAAGCTTCAGTACATGGGCCTGTGGGGACTTTTGGTATCTAAACTCTAGCAATCTCTAAATTTACCAGTCCTTAACTTCTTTGTAGTTGATTGTTTCATGGTGGGCTGGCAAGATGGCTCAGAGAGTACAAGTATTTGCTGTGCCCGCTTGATGACCTGGCTTTGGTCCTTGGATCTCACTGTGGAGGGACAAACTAACTCTCAAGAGCTGTCCTCTCATCTCCATATAGGTGCCATAGCATGTGCATCCCCAACTCATATACACATATACTTTTAATACAAAATAAAATGTAAAAATATGCCAATGAGATTTTGAAGCTTTAAAAATTATTTTTATTAAGTTATTTGATCATTTCATACATGCATATAAAGCATTTTGATGCTCCCACTCCTTGCCCTCTCTTGTCTGCCTCACAGCCCAATCAGTTTCTCTTCCTGCCTAACAGTCCCTTTCATGACTTTTGGTTTAGTCTAATGATCCACTTTGACCATTTAATTAGAACTATCCATTAGAGCTTATGAGGTCACCAGTGGGCATATAACTGAAGGCAGTGGCTCCCATCTCCCTAAATCTATCAGTAGCAAACAGTTGAGTAGAGAAAGTTAGGGCTCCCCAAGTGCTGTCTTCATTCATGGCTGACTGTTGGCGCAATCCCATGTTGATCCCATGCAGGCATCTGTAGTTGCTAAGAGTTGGTGATTATAATGACTATGTCTTTCTTAGATGGTATCATTTTGCAGCCCCTCTTCCTATCTTCTAACTTACATTTTATCTACTAAGACATTTATGCCATCTCCACTGTAAGTTATTTTTAATATATAGCCCTATGCACATCATTTGTGTTTTCAAAAGATTAATATTTTATTAGGGCTTTGTAGAGCCAGTTTCACTTTATTATCATTATAATTTCATTTTTGGAGACAGTAGATTCCAAGCTACAGTATTAGAATTACTATTATTGTTTAATTCATTCTAACTTCATAATTATACTAATTGTTTTTCTTACCATAGCTAATGTGATGTGTATCTGTGTCCCAAAGAAACAATTCTGAAGAATTTATTTACTGGTCACTGCTGCTGTATGCAAAGGCAATTGCACTTAGATCACCTGATACTTTCTCTAATGTCTAGAATTGACTAGCATTATCTAGAATGTAGAATTATGAATTGAGAAACAAGATGAGGGAATGTCTGTCTTGCTGATGGGCTTATCTGGCTGTTTATATCTGTATTTGTCCATCTCTCAGAATTGAGAAAAGTTAAGATCTACTTGTTGATTGGCTTTTCCATTTTGTCTTTTCTAAGCAGAGGACCCTCTTTGATTTGGATCCTGAGTACTGGGCTTGTCCACTCTATGCTGCTAGGGCCACTTTTGGGATTTAGTGATGTTCTCTAATGAACAGTAGTTCAGTCTTTTTATTTTTATTTTTATTTGTTGCAAGCTTTGTAAGGGTTGGGGCCTGTATATTGTCTACAGTGCTGGTAGATAAGCAGTGTCATGGGTTCACTGAGGAATTGCCCTAGTAAATACTTCCTAATTGTAGTTTCCATCCAACTAGGTCAGTGATACGGCATACCTTTTCTCCTGGAACCATTTCTTTTTTCTCAAAAAGTTCAAAAAAGAGACATTTATACACAATATACCCCAAATACAATGTAGCTTTATGACCAAGATTTGTTTTATTATTGCTTTAAATTTGTTTTGTCTTTTGTCAGAATAAAAGATGCAGAAAATGTGTTTCTTTTTCTTTAGATTTTTCCTTATATGGAACACAAATTTAAATAAGACTGATTTTTAGTTTATTTAAATATTTGAAAAGTTAAATTTATGAGTCATCATTGTATTTGGAGTAATAAAAATACTGAACAATTCTTGTTGACACTTTGTTGCAAAAGAAGAAATGAGGAATAGTGTGAGACCCTGGCAACCAAACCAGTAGAAGCCATGCAAATGCAGCGGCAACAACTCTGTTGTTGACCACAATGTTTTACTCTCCTTTGAAGCTGGATGCCATTGATGAGTTACATAGTCAAAACGCAGTGAGGTTATACTGTAAGAATGATTAAATAATTATTTTGTATATAAAATGGCCATTTTCAGGACTGCTTCCTTTCTTCCGACACGTCTGTACACATATGAACGTGGCTGAGAAACTCAGAGATGTTCAGTGCTTAAAAGAGTTGAAACTGTCTAAGACTGTAAAGCTTAGGTTGGAAAATAATAGACTATTGTTTGTTATATACTAAAACATTCAGAATGTGATGTTAAAGGCTGAAATTTGATTACCAAAGACAGGTTAGTCAAAGCTGAGTCAGCTTTTGGGTGTGAAGGAGTAAGATATGCCTTTACAGAGATAAAGATGTGAAGACATTTTATTCAGCATAGTGAAATGACTTATAATATTACAACTGATACCAGGGAAATACCACTGACAGTTGTTTGGGAATTAATATTTGTTCTACACACAGACTAGTATATGTAGGGATGGATCAAGAGACTTCTTAGAGAAATATTTCTGCCTAAATATCTCTGATGGCGTCTATATGACTTCAGTGGCATGGACTTTAGTAAAAAGGGATAAAACAAATAATATCCTTGTTTTAAATGAATTTCAAGTATTTATAGGCCTTGCAAGAATTAAGTCTGTTTTTGCAGTTAGGAAAATACAAATGGAGTGCATTTCTTAAGCATTGTTAACATAGGCCACAGATATGTCTATGTATGTGTGTTTGGTTTTGGGAGCATAGAAATTAATATTTACTAGTAAAACTTAAATCTTGATAGTGAATTCTAAGAACTGCTTTCTGATGTGATAATTTTCATTGTGTAGAATTTGAATGTGATAGCTGTAGGAATAGAATATTCATTCTATTCTATTCATTCTATAAGACATATGCATAATGTCATATTTTGTGAAGAACAATATTTTGTATTTCTCTTTATTTTGTTTTCATTTAACAGTATTTTCAAGCTAAGTTACTACAGATTTA